ATTATCCTCAATTTCAAAATTTCGTTTTGCTACTACCTTGACGTTATGCCCGTAAATCTTTATCAGGATCTCATAAAACTTCTCCTTTAGGTAATTTGTAATACCTTCTTCTTACTCCCTAATCCTTCTTTCTTCATGATTTTTGATTATAAAGTTACATAATCCTTGCTTTTTTCTACAATTTTCAATTTTTGCTCTCTGAAGCGTCTAGGCTCTCAATTCTAGCTATTGCACATTCATTTTCCCGGCGAATTTGCCCTTGAAATTCGTATTCCTTAGCCTATGAAATCATCCCACACGTGCTCCGAGATGGATTTCAGACTTGCGATCAAAGTTGGGTCCTTAAAATTTTAAGGAGCTGATTCGACCGCGCCAGATGTGCGCCGTAAAAACTAATCGAATTTCTTCGCTTTTTTCGATGCGGCATGATTAGTGTGAAGGGCTTGAGGGATTTATTGAGAGAAACAGTTGAGTCATGGCTAGAGGGTTTCAGGGTTTCAAAGGCTTAGGTTTGACAGAAAACCGTTATAAAATGGGACCAAAACGGTGAGAAAAAGGAAAAATGCTTTCTCGTAGGTTCTAGATCAAATAATAGAGGAAAAATAAACTTAAGGACTCTTTCTTAAAAGTTAGTTAAATTGAGGGCTAGCTAGGAAAAAATGTTTTTTAACAACAACTTTCTTTGAATCCTCATAAAAGTACTGCTCGTATACCAATTATACTCCGCGTACAATGTTTTGACCCCCCTCCTAACTCGGCCCAAAGTGTACCAATTCCTACCAAATTTGGTATGTAGTCTACTCACAGGCTATAACAAAAAATAACATAGCAGTACATACATTATAGTTGAATTTCAAGATCCAGGGGCAATTTTCAAAAATCACCTTAAAAAATCGAGGAAAAAGTTTTGACCCCCCTTAAAAAAGTTAGATTTCGCCAGCGGATGCTACCCAAACCTGTCGTAATCGACGTCGCATACCTGAATACATTTTAATAAATGCTTTTCCGTTGAATCCTTCGTTGCATTTGAGGATTCAACGCGTAAAACCGTTTTTGATGGAGAGCTGCTTAAAATGGAAAAAATCTTGTACTATCGCCTTCCAAAAGTTGTATACTTTCGTATATACTTTGCTGATTTCCAATAGAACATGTGGTCTACTTTTAGCGACGAGCTTTACACAACAGACCCAAACACTCAAACAATGAAATCTTTTGTTTTGGACATCTTTAAAAAGCCCATCAATAAATAAAAATAAATTTTACGAGAAATCGGTCTCTCCGTCGAATGACTTTTGTAAAACTACATATTAAAAACGAAATTATTATTATTAATTGTACGATTTTGATTTTATCACAGTTCAGATTTTCACCCAAAGCCCCAAAAACCCAAAACCCCTATATATTCGTTTATGGCAGCTGTGAGTCTTCGGAATCTGGTAAATATTTGGACATCCCCCTTATATAAAAGGCCGCTCGCTCAATTATTTGAAACTGGTGTGACTGGTCTTCTATGCCCCACGCCATTGTCGCCAAAAATTATAAAGCCGGCATTTCTCTCGGGCTTTAGATCGCATTTCTACCCAGTAAAATCACGGAGACTTTTGGTATCAGTTGCCACATTTCTGGGCCGCAAGCAAGCGTTTATTGGCCAAGCGTTTCGTCTGGTCTTCTTTCTTACCATTACTTTCGAAACACCCGAATTTTATGTAGTCTATACATATTAGATGCTAAAATCACAGCTTATATTTTGGTGACAAATGAATTTCTTTTATATGATTTCTTTGTATCTTGTGCGTAGAAGTCCAAATCCAAAATGCAAATAAATCTGTTGCAAATAACCTTAGTATTTGGTAGCGGAAATCGAGGATCAATTGCTAGCAATTGATCCTCGAGGCTTCCGGTAATCCTATTATGCCTTCAGCGTCTACGTTTTTTATATATTTTGGCCGTTTTTTGGGTAATTCGTACGATTCAAAAAAAGTCTTTTGAGCAAATTCACAAACAATTTTTTTTATTATTATTGTGCGATTGCTTTTTGAGTGAGTAATTTGGAACTGAGGAGTCAAACGCCATTGGTTCGGTTTTGACCTTTATTCTGGCATTTGTTCGGTCAGTAGTTTATGGATGCCAAAGACGGTCACGGTCTTCCATTCTACGCAGTTTTGTTAGGTTCAGTTTTGGTCCGCCCACTCCACTGTTGCGAGCCGAAAAGTACAACCTATTGTTGTTGAATGCAACGGCAAGCAAGTGGAGTCAATTACCATTTTTCTTGTAGTTTTCAATTCTGCTCATCAGCCATTTTCTAACTGAAAGATTATTGGATTGACCTTATGGAATTTGTGCTCTCCTTTCCGTCGTTGATACCGTGCCTCGCTGAAAAAGATTGCTGAACATTCCGGTTGTGATTGATGCTGAAATTTCGGTAATCTGTGGTTTTAGCAGGGACATTAGCAGTATTCAAAATACGATGCCTTTGTAGCATATATTCCTAACAAATTTGTTAAATCACAGTTTACGCCTATGTCTACCATTTTTGGTAATCAAAAAATAAAGATAGGAGAATAATTCTCGTGCGCTGTAGTTATATGTACGTATATATAATAACAAAGCACTTTTCATGTTTCTTTTTTCTTGTTATTTAATTATAATCAAATTATTTATGTAGAGAGAGCCTTTGGTCTTACAACATAGTCTACGCCGCTTTCATTCGGTCTAGAATTTTTCGTTCAACTAGAGCAAAAGATAATTGCAGGGAAGAGAGTAAAAGTGTAAATCCAGTTGTTCCAAGAATAAAGACAATGGTAATACTCTCTTCTTGAACACGTATGTTTACATCACTATACATACTTGGTGTTGATTCTAATCCCCATTTACATGTTCCTGCTTTAATCCAAACGTATTGTCCGTATTCGTCTTTGAAATATTTGGCTGCGTAACGTTGAATATCTTAGGAGTTCTACATGAACTTGCTAACAGAAATAGCTCTTTTATGATTTAAAAGACTACATTAGAAGATTGTGGCGGTATGAGTTTTAATATGCTCAACAATCACAGCATGGCACCGCTGAAATTAATGGTTAAGTTTGGTGTGGTCTCAAATATATTTTCGTCATTATATAGGCTTGCTTATTAGGATTTGTTTCCTTGGCTCTTTCGTAATATCCGTCTGTCGGGAAAATAATGTGGACTTGTCGCCCATTGGAATTGACAATGATTGCTTTGCAATGACTTGCCGCGGCTGGAGATTTGATCTGCAATTGCGACAAGTCGAGAAATTTTGATGCCACAAACCCACATATTTTTCAAGCAGGCTCATAAATTGATGAACTAGACATCACTGTAGATTTTATTCTTCGATGTTTAACGATACCTTTGCCAGGGTTTAAGGTTACGCCCTATAAACAGCATCTTTCTTGGACAACATTTTTAGCAGAGGATTTGTTTGCGTTATCAGATACCTTTGTAAAACCTGTTGTAACTTATTTGTTTCAAGATGAAACTTAGGAGCTTTTATTATTAAAATATCCATTATAAAGTATACATTTCCTACAGCCTTGTATTAGATTACCTTTAGCACATTCCATATGTATGCCCGAAATTGCTTTCCTACTGTTCATCACGTTTTGTTTTAACCTTTTTACACCCTTTTCCATTCCACTTATATGTCTTGTAACCCGGTTAGCAACTGCAAAGATCCTGCTACATTCTTAATGTAGTTTAAGCCAATTTAATTTAGCCGAACACAACTGTGCAAACAGTAACGCCTGTGGGGATTCGCGAGTGTCATACACTTTTTAAGCGCAAATCAAAAGGTCCGGAGATCGGCTGATGTCATTTATGGTTATTTTTAGGCGGCCTTTTGATGAGTTTCTGATTTTTTCGGTTTGTGCTGGATATCAGGCATCAAATCAGAGTGCATTTTGGGGTTTTGATTTGGGATGACCAACAAATTTAAATCGTAACTCTCGGCTACCGTGGGATACAGTCGGAGAATCTTCATTTGCTAACGTACACCCTAACACTGTTGCTAATTTTACCACTGTACAAAAAACTTGTGACCTTTGAAAGAAGCCGAATTGTATGTATTTTCTGCAGAATGCACATTCCAGTTACTTGTTTATGATCTTTCAACATGTTCCGCTTACGCCATTCTTGGGTTCGAATTTCACGTGTCCTATGGTACAACAACAATTTTTTCGTCCTTTTTTGACCGTAGCAGGTGTTACATAACAAACCGGGTCATGCAGTTTTTCATTAACAATTTTAGCTTGGATTTTAACTGCATTCTTAAGAGGTCGTGGATAATTTTTATTACTTGTTTTATACGACAGTTTACGAGTCAAGATCTTTTAATATAGCCAACACTTTGATAACTTAATTTCCCAACTTTTAACTAACCAACAAAAAGGACAACATCCAAGTCATCAAATTCCCCATAAATTCCGTTTTGTATTTCTATTCGATTATTTATCTTTAATCCCTACAAAACCCCCGCTCTAACCTCAATATATCCCCTCATACAGCCTTATTGTAGGAACCAAATTCCCGGTGAAACATTGTAATCAAATTACATCTCATTAACCTTCTTTTTGCACCACTTTTGTTCCGTTAATTCTAAATCCAGTCCCTCCAAAATTCGTCCGCAAAAAAGTTTTTGGCCCATCCTCAAGTTCGTGGCCAAGAGGCGAACACAAACACTGCCTGAGGCGCCCTTTCACGTGTGGGTATTTGGAAACGCAATCCCGAATTACTCATGCGCAGTGCCAGGTATAAGTCTTGAGGAGTTTTCGAATTGCCCATTCACTACTGCTAAACTTTTGCACCTGTAAACCGCTGGCGGTTGCACATTCTCTTATTGTCAGCTTTATTTTCCTGCCACTATTACACGTCCAAATTGTATTGCTAAAAGTTTGTACTTGCCTATTTCATTCTGCTTACTCTGAAGACTTTACTGTATACATATTACATATTCGTGACTACCTGCTCTTCGATTGCTAATCATGGAGTTTGTTAAGGAGTCCGCCATGTCCTCATCCCCGATATCAAATATATGTTTGACGGAGCGCCAAATGCAATTGTCAATGGATGGCGTGGAGAGGGTTCTAATCGGATACGCTCTTCCCTTTGTGGTCATCTTTGGGATCACCGGGAACTTGTTCAATTTGACAGTTCTGTTGACGCCAAGTATGAGAAGCAGGTAAGCGTTTAAGTTTGTGCAAAGAGGCAGGTTACTAGGTAACTTTGGGGAATTGGATATGCACACATAGTCAAAAGATCTCCATTGCTAATAAATAGAAGTATTTTATTTTTACTTACTTTTGGTACCATCGTATCTTCATGTAATTAATTCCCTAACTTTTTGCGAAGGTTTTTACTCCGCAAGATCAATTGTTGCTATATACATTAGTTCAGCTTTGGCCAGAGAAAAATAATGAGAACACCAAAAAAAGAACAGAGCGTTCAAGGGGAAGGGAGACCGATCTCAGACTTTGCAAATAGAGTATGGAGCTATCAACATCTGAAGCTCATGTTAGCAGCCACTGTATGCTATTAGACAATCTTTGCAGTGGAGTATCCTTTATGTAATATGGTGCACTCTTGTAGAATCTTACAAGTTAGTAAAAAGTTAGTAAAATAGCCCAAAAGTTCCTGAGGGCTACTATTGCTTCTTCCATGGTCCTAGTTTTGACCAAATCTCTATTTCAGATCAAATATCTTTCTGGCAGCGCTGGCCGTCGCAGATATGCTGTTCCTCTTCTTAATGTTCCCACATTCTCTTGTACATTTCGACTTATTTCTGTTCAATTATTACTTCCGCTTATTCTACCTGTCGGGTACAACGTATCTCCTGACTTTGGCTAATTGGGCCTCAGCAGCAGCTATATGGTAAGTCATCAAAAACTGGCGGATTTAAGACGATATTTTAGGCTGATTCTTACAATCTGCGTAGAGCGGCTGATTGGTATTCGATATCCGCTGAGTACGAGGAAACGGAGTAATTGCAGTATTCCAGCTATCATTGCTGTTATTGTATTCGTGACAGGAGTGCTGACCGCATACAATTTGTTTTCTCACGAATGTGTTTTGAGGGTGTTTTGTAACGACACTCAGGTGCATGGGTATTGTTTGGAGATTGCGAAAGAGCTGTAAGTGAGGGGAGAATGAATAATCGAGCGGAAATCTGGGAAATTAATAACAAAAAATTTGTTAAATACAGAGGTTTTAAAACTCACGTGGACAAGCGAATTGTCATCGTTAGTTGTAATGCCGTACGAATTAATCCAAGTCCAGAGTGTAAAATATCACTCTTCGTCTTTTTCAAGTTTTTCATAGGCCTGCTGAGTACCTCTGGCTACTTGATTGACAACTAGATTTTAATGAAACTTGGCATAAAATAAGATTAAAAAATTTTGCGTGAAACCCGAGCTCAAACTTTACATAAACCGATATTTTAACTCCAAGCATTGGTGAAATTCGAAATTTCCTTTTTGTGTCTATGTATGAAAATTTTAGCATGATTTTTGTTGAGTATAACAATATAATATTTCTGGTTCAAGCCATAGAGTCAAATGGCCTTTACTTTGAAACTTCACTGGTTTTCATTTGTTGTAAAATTATGTTTTAATTTCTAATAAAAAATCGGAAATTTTTTTTGATTCACCCTAATATCAACAAATTGAATATCAGAGCGTCGCACTACAAATATTTTCTGTTGTCAATCAAAAAGTTCATGATCTAAACCCCTGATTTTAATAAAACACAAATATTTTTTAAATGTTGACTCCATTTTTTCAGCTGGCCAAAGAACCGGCAGAATCCCCATTCAGTTCTCCGGAAAGCCTATGCGTTGTGGTCGCCCCGCTTCAACGCCGTCTTTGTTGTGTTCTTGCCAACGTTGGTTATCGTAATGTCGAACGCATTGCTTATTCAAACGCTTCATAAACGGTAAGTCGGACATGAACACATCATGTGTTCTCTTGGCTTCAACAACGCGGCTTTCTCTGGAGAAACATGGACGTATAATCCGATTTGTAGTAATTTCATAATACCCAACATGAGACAAGTAATAGGAATATATTATACAGTGTATTAGGACCGAGAGTATTATTTTGCAGGAGGAAATTTCTTCAAGATTCCACGCGGAATCACAGCGAAGAAGGACAAACATTGGCGGCGGCCGGAAACAACGCCGGAACAAACTGTCAATCGCGCAACGAACAGCGGATTACGCTGACAATCTGCGCAATTGTGACATGCTTCACGTTAACTCAGGTATGTTTTTGAGGATACTTTCAGGAAAACTTGCTACAACCTTAATGATTGGTCAACTAAATGTCTATTTATAATTTTAGGCACCTTCCGCGTTCTATCATCTGCTCAAAATTACATTGGAACCAAGCCATGGGAGACTTCCTATTGTAAGTCCAAAGATAATATGTATTAAAGATTATGGATTTGCAATTTTTTGAATTCTTAAAAATGCTGTCCCAATTTAAAATTACACTTTTTTCGGGAGTTCAAGCTTTTGGTGTTCACTTTGTTTTGTTTACATTTCTATGCGAAAAAACATTAGATCTCTGCTAAAAAATAGGCTGAAATTCAAAAATATTTACCTTTTCATATACAGTGAGGGACCGGATCCAATGGCAAAAAACGTCTCACTTTGCATCCAGGAAGGGACCAAACTGACTCCAAAACCCTCCCTTCTCTTAGCTAAAAAACTCCGCTTTGAAAAGCGGGCCCTTTCCTTCAATAAGAGAGCGCTAGCTCCCATTCCTTCCAACAATATTCGCAATCAAAAAGCGCGCGCTTTTTTCTTTTCTCGGATTCTCCTTCTCCGGAAAAAAAACAAAAAAATTCGGCAAATACAGAAGGCCAAAGGAAAGAGAGAAGCGCAAAAGGCGCGCGCTTTTTGATTGCGAATATTGTTGGAAGGAATGGGAGCTAGCGCTCTGTTATTGAAGGAAAGGGCGCGCTTTTCAAAGCGGAGTTTTTTAGCTTAGAGAAGGGAAGGATTTGGAGTCAGTTTGGTCCCTTCCGGGATGCAAAATGAGACGTTTTTTGCCATTGGATCAGGTCCCTCACTGTACATGTGCTTTTTGTGTACTCTACAAAAAATTATGTACAAAATATCCCAGCGAGAACCTTCAACATTTGGGAGTGCTTATCAGTTTCCTCAAAGGCTGATAGAACACGCTAAGAGTGAAAATTTTATCACTAACCTTTTCAGGGAACGATCACCAACTTTATGGTCTGCGTTGGGAAGTCGCTCAACTTCCTGCTTTTCTGCATGAGCAGCAGCTCCTTCCGCAACAAGTTCATGAAGCTGACCAAGAACCGGCTGAACGTCGCCATGGGCAAAAAGTAAGTCCACAGTTCGCGTTACCAACTCCGACTATCGTAGTAATGTCGTAATCTACCCTACTATTGTTCTCAGGTTGTTACCCTCGAAAACAAGCAAAGCGCAATATCTTGACATATGAACATATCCTTGTAGGTTTTCACCGCTATTCCGCTTTCTATGTTCTGCACTAACGTCCGACTCGAAACACTGTTGCACGCGGGGATTCTGTTGGGGGAGTTTGGGGCGAGACAAGTGTCACAATGTCCGTTGAGTTGTTGTATTTTGTGGGATGTGTGAACGTCGCGGTTAACCGGGTTGGCTTGTTTTAACAGAGTAGTGTTGTGTGATTGTGACATCATCAAGGCAGATAGGTACAGTTTTCTTTACTAAATTACTAATCGCATGCAATTCATTCGTTAAATAAAGGCATTGATTTTACTTTTGGCTCAACGGTGAGTCTTTCGACTCCTAAAAATTAAAAATGGGGTTTGTTGAATGGAATTGTTTTGCACAGAAGTTTCACTATAGTATTTCTCCTTAGCATGACGCCGTAAACCGTATTTTTTATGAACACAAGGACCATTATGGGTTTTAAGAAATGAGGGGCGTATCAGACACCTTCGGATATTGCCCGATTTGTGTTTTATGTCTTCTGTAAAATTTTAAAACAAAATTCACGTCATGGTCTTTTTTTTGGCACTAGGAAATCATACACCTCTAAAATGATAAATTTTTCATACCGGAAAATCAAAAATTTTAACTAAGTTCCATAAATATTGAAAATTTTAAAAACTGGGGTGTCACATTGCCATGTAGCTTTCGTGATTTAATTCTATAAATTGAAAATTGGTTAATTTTTAACATTCAATTTCGTAAAAGGCTATACAATTTAACATCTGTACAACCATGTCCTGTATAATAAAATCTGTCGACAAAAAGGATTTTCTATGCCCTCAGAGTCATCTTTAGCCCAAAGGTAAACCCCGGCAAATGAAACTATTCTAAATGCAATGAACTAAAACTTTTTTAATCCCTTACGATTTGTTGTACAAAGGTTTTTCCGTATAGCATCAAAACAAAGCAGGATAAACCCTTCGTCTCCTAAATTCCAAGAGCTCACTTCACTGTCCTATTTTGGCGTGTGCTATGTTGTCTTATCACTCAGCTTATCCCAAATGTTCTCTATGTTAGCCATCTCTGTTGAGCCACATTAACCCATTCGTTATTGCACCTTTATGTTGCCCCGCTAACAACCAAATCCTAATTTATGTTTTGCAGAGATGCCTCAAAGAGTTTTACAAACGATACGATGCTCACTGCCTACACTGATCGTTCACGTTCGCCTTCGCCGAATCTGCGAATCCGCCCGACCGATCGTAAATTGTCGGCGCCTCAGCCACTGCTGAAAGTCACACCAAGCATCAAACACGAGCCGAAATTGAGTTTAAGCAGCAAACTACCGTTAATCAAGAAGAAGTCCAGAAGTTTGAAGGAGTTCCATCGTCTGAAAAGCGTTCATTTCAATTCGCCAAAGGCCGAAAATCGAAAAACGGATCGTTTGGACGTGAATGTCAGTGTAATATAAATCAAATTAGATGCATGTATACCTCATATCTCGGAGATACAAAATGTATTTATTGTATATTTTCTGAAATTTAAATGTGCATGATCTCAATAATAAATTATTTATGCAGTGGACCTGATCCATTGGCAAAAAAATTATAATTTTACATCCGGGAAGTATTAAAAATGTGGCAAAATACCTCCTACTACAATAAAAAAACACTCCGTTTTGAAATGCGCGCCCTTTCCTTCACAAAAAGAGCGGGCGTGCTTTTGAAATCGGAGTTTTTTTCACTCGGACAGGGAGGTATTTTGCCACATTTTTTGATGCTGCCTGGATACGAAATGGTACGTTTTTTGCCACTGGATCAGGTCTCCCACTGCACGTACAAATGGATAAACAAAATTTTGAAAATCACTATCATCGGAAGAGTTTATTATATACGAGCTAAAATTTTGAAAAATCGGTTACCTAGGTTCACAAACATTCCAAAAGAATACAGTATCCACTCCCAAGAATCCGCGCCTTTGCATCATCCAAACCTGATAAGCAAATGGTGCATCAAGCCTATATTTCCTCGATCAATGCTTCATTTGTTATGCCGATAAGAGGCTGATAAACAATTCCACAACTATCCACTACGTCCTTCCGGAAGGCTCTGGCACTGCGGAAAACGATCTCCTGGACTTTTTAGCGTTGTGTCTGACATAAAATTCATCTTGTAATCAGAGAATCAAGACGTTTGCGGCTTCAAGTCATAAAAACAGTGCTTCGTTTCATGCGGATCGTTTTGCGATAACCCACGTAAATGGGTGCAGCAGTTACTTTAAAAGTCAGGGCCAACAGCGAGCAGTATCTTCGAAGGAAATGTTCCAAATCAAGTTACTTTGTGTTGTAGGGCTGGCGATTGGCGCTAGTGGGCTGCAAGAGTTCATCTTGCCTCAAGCGTAAGTTATGCTAAAATAGGAAGGGCCTAGTGATAGCCGCAAGCGCATTAGAGCTCTGGTTCATAGTGGAACCGGTTTTAACTCTATAAAATCAAACCTCTGTGCAACGAATCGTAAAAAAGCCAAAAGAAAAGTTGGTTATAGGGACGTTTGTTGTGCGGAGCTTCATTTCGGCCAAAACTCGACCATTGGGAACTCTAAAATCGTTCGTTATAGACAGGTTCTGCTGTATTGACGCAGGGGTTTCACCGTAGTCGGCTTACATTATTATGTATAATCCTATAAAAAATTCCCTCTCATCTCAAACTTTTAGTCTCCCCGACAAAATAACGCTGAAACGCAACTTTATTCTGGATACCACTTCTTCCGACAGTTTCGTCCTCCATTCGCAACCCTATGCGAAGATTGCGGGTCGTTCGTCGACATACAATCCCGGAGAGTCAACCTCATCCAAACACATCGGCTATGGCGAAGGAGTCTATCACAATGAGACAAGGAATGCGCAAGCGTTTGGGAGACTCATCGAAGACAGATTTTCGCTCTATGACTTTACCAGAGGTCGTTTTTATGCCGCGACTGAACTAAAAGGCGGTTTCAATCCAGCTCTTGCTCTGAACGGCTCATGGAGGGCTGGTCGGCTTGGGTTTGGGCGAGGAGAGAGCTTGACAACGCTGTCCAAGAAGCTGGTCGAGTCCGGAAAGCACGCCACTGTATGCGCTGAAGCCTTTAGAAACTCATGTGGACAGTAAGTAGCCAAGTCTGGGCGTTTTTTGTGGGCTTAAAGTTCCTTCAAGGGCATTATTGTCTATAAAATCCGAAATATGACTCTATAGAGCTTTAATTTTTAGTTACGAACAGTCAGCCAAAGTTGGAGTTGACCTCAGCTCTCTGAGCGGCACATCGAAGGTTAGAGCGATTCCCGACAAGTCCTTGTGGAAGATCCCAGTCAGCTCTATTCTCATCAACGGATCAAGACATTCGCTCACAGGGAAGGCAGTCATCTCCACCGTCACTGACAAAATTATTTTGCCTGCCCGATACGAACACCTTCTCGTCAATGTCTTGGGCGCAACCAAGGTCGGCAACCGCTATGAGGTCGATTGTGAGGCCGCAAATGAAGTCTCGATTGTCAGCGACGGCCAAACATTGAGCTTGGATTATGCTGCACTTTACGAGGAGAAAAAATGCGCGTGCTTCTTGAAGATTGAAACCGGTAACAATGACGACTTGGTCCTTGGATTGCCGCTATTTGCTGGAAGAGGAGTCTGTCTGGACTTTCAGGACAAAAACGTGGTCTTCTACAAGGAGCGGAAAGAACAGTGATTTAATTTTGTGATTTTATAACTTTTTTATTCAAGCGCTTGATTAATTAAGAATAAAGATGTTTTATGCTAATTTCTTGAAAGAGAAAGACATTGACACCACAGAAAACAACTAGTCATCTTCTAATGCTGCAATCTAAATTTTTTATTTACACTTTCTTTTTGGGAAGTAACAGTACGTCCTAGATTGAATGCTGCCAAGAAATCATAGATTATCATGATAATATTATCACGTTCAGCTTCCAAAACTGGGTACCAGACCCCTTTTAGAAGGTGTAACAATAGGAGTTTCAATGACTCACTGAGTACTGTCCCCGATGATCGGGCGTAGATTTTCACTTCCGTTCTTAATCTTGTATTTTAAGTTCCTAAGTCACTGTGTTAATTTTAATTTATCTAGGAGCGCCAACTTAATATAAAAAGAGTATTTTATTACAATTTTGAAATATTTCTTACAATTTTAAAACTAATAAAGTTTGGCGATGATAAGAGCTTTGGCGTTCGTTTTTTACATCGCTCACTGTGATAGGGCTCGAGGAGTTTCATTTGGATGGCATGTAGGTATTGTGATTAGACATGGCTCGTTGGCCGGGGGCCGACCGGGCGCCGGACTGTAAATAAATACTGCATTCATTATGAGGTTCAACACATTTTTTGTTATAACAATCGAAAATAAATTTTTAAAACAAAAAATGACCAACCATTGCCTAAAGTACTTCAAAAAAAAGCAATCGGTTCCTGGATCTGCGTTTCATTTGTATTGGCAACCCCAATTTTCGCTGATTGGGGGCCCATTGGGGGCCTCCGGTCGGCCCGGGGGCCGGAAGAGGTCGGCCCGGCCCAGTAACTATGTCTAATTGTGATCATTATTGGACAAATGTTCTTGGTATTTATTTTAGTTTTTTCGATGGCCTAAAGTCTGCCCGCTCATGAAGTCGTCTTTTGCAAAGCTGAAATTTGATAAGCAATATGTGAGTTTATTTGTCATGCCAAACAATTGTTAAAAAATAAATTTTGCAATTAGTTTGATGCCTAATTTTGCGATTACAGTTGACTTTATTTGCAACGGACAAGCTAAAAAAATTCTCTCCGATCTCGGCAACCCAAGTTATCAGAACAACAATAATAACAGAAATAAGCCCTTACAAAGAGAATATTAACTGTTATCTTGTTGTATTCTGTGTAAGATTTAATCCATATTTATTTAGAGTAAGGCCTACAGAATAGAAAGCCGCTCCTTAAAACGTTTATACAGGGTGCGCCAATAAAATCTGGACTAATATTTTTGCTTGCCCTGCGGGCTGTAACAGTACGAGAACAAAGTGGGCGAGTGTGGACACGTGTAATACGTCCAAGAAGCTATCTTAAATTTTCAGACAAAATAATCGTCTACGACACTTGTTTTGCCATTATAAGTGCTTACAACTAAGGCGCCTGAAACACGGACCCCAAATTGGTCAAAAAATGGTTGCGCTATCTTTACCGTTTTATGCTATGGGCTGAAATTTACTTTTTCTAATAGAGCTCCGGTCGGTTTTTATACACTGAAATTGATTTTGCCTCATTATGACAATTAGGCTTTTTACAGTCGCCAAAGTTGGCTTAAAAACGGGCCCTTTTTCCCGAAAACTTCCGTTAAATCAAAGATTTTTATGTAGAAGTTTCCCTGTGTGATTCCAAACATGTTAAGCACCAGAACTACTTTTGCAAGGATAAGCAGATTCTGCCTAGCCGCTTTTCAAAGAGGATTTTTCTAGCTGCTGCCTCTGGAGGTGAAATAGTGGCTGCAGTGGCATAATTTACTATATGCTCGCTATTCGAGTGACCTTGGACTAGATATTTCTAAAAGTGATTTGGCTACATTAGCATGTATCCAGTATAATTTGTGTGGAAAAATGATGAAGTGACAGTTTATACGCCAAATCCTTCTGCCTAAATATTGTTATTATACCTACATAACTTGAATTGACATTTGATAATAAAATAGCGCATAAGTAAAATATCCTTCATGACAACACATATAGATTACCCCACAAACACCTGTGGCTTATAGTATGTTGCAAAGTGGGTCTAGATAGATTGTTTTATAAATAGACTTTTTGTTGTTTGCCAGTTGGCAGTCTTATCGATAAGTGTTTATCGATAAACCTTCTTCAACGTAGGCTACGAGTCAAACGCAGGATCAGCTTTGCAACGTGTATGTAGATATGAAAAGTAAATACTCCTTCATGCTGACATAGATTTCCCGGCAAACATGTCTAGCCCATGATTGTAAAGAAAACAGGTGGTTTTTGAAAATAAAAACTTTTTAGTGAACGGTGACCCTGAGGTCGTCCACAACAAACTTGTTATTATGCTGAAAAGACATGTTCCTATGTTATTAAAACGAGTACTAATTGTAAGAGAAATTATCGTTAATAGGTCCAAATCAGTCCAGCGATAATACCCCTTTTTCTAGTTTGGTTGCTTTATCTTTCTTGAGTACGGTGGGCTTCCGTCACTAACTAGAACGTCGTCCACTTCTTTTTTTGAACCTTATCATCCAAGATCAAGGAATCAACATGTAGCTTTGGTTGCTTATCTTTCCTGAGTACGGTAGACTTCCGTTACAAACTAGAAGGCCGCCCACTTCTTTGTCAAACGTTATCAATCAATATCAAGGAATCGCCTTCTATATAAAGCGGTGCCATGCAGGATTTGTCATCACAACCATGAAAGGGAGTCTTCTGTTTCTTTCCCTCTTTGTTGCGGCCAACGCCTTGACTGAGTTCACCTTGCCAGTGACGTAAGTTACCAATCTTCTCGAAGGTTTGTATTTTAGATTTTCTAATGGCGTCGGACCTAGTGTTTCGCTCGTGGTGGACACAATGTTCACCCAAAGTTTTGTGCTTGGAAGAGAGTGGTTCGGAGAAAAAGCTGGCCGCGGAAAAACTTATGACCCCGCTCAATCGAAATATTCCAAACGAATCGATTACTGGAGGGCGCATTCGTACTCGAATGGTGAAATTTACGGGACAGTTTCCGGCGCGATTTATTCAGATCGCGTTGGAAGCTTTCCGGATGACGTCGAAGCATCGTTCCTCGTGGGCCAGGAATTAGATAGAGGCTACCCGGCGAAGAACCTTAACGGAACCTACGTTGCTGGACATCTGGGAATTGCTCGAGAAAAAGACGGTCCAACTCAAACCAATTTAGCTGACAAGGTCCTTGCTCAAACGGAGAATAAGGTTTGGTGTGGAGAGGCGATTCGCAGTAGCCAACGGTAAGCGTTGTTTGTTGAGCGTATAGATTAGGTTTCCAGAATAAGATGAGAGACCCTTCCTATTCCTAATTCCCCTTCCTTTAGCTACCTCCAGCGTTCGATTCTAGGAATCCTACCTCAGGACCACCAGATCGTAACCAGGATCCCCAGCAAAGAGTATATTAGAGATTGGGCACTCACTGGCCGCAATGTTACGACCAGCGGCAAAGCCCTCGTACCTGGCGCTCGAATAGCGATCTCTAGCGTCGTGGACAAGATCCTCTTCCCCAGAGACAATTTCTCCAAGGCTGTCAGACTTTTCGAAGCCACTAGAGTTGGAGAGCGATACAAAGTTGACTGTAATGGCAACTATGACATTGATTTCGTCGCCGGAGGGCAAGATGTTCGAATCGAATCTGTAGATCTTGTGGAAAAGGAAGGCGAGGAATGCTTCCTGAAGATCGGCCTATCCTTGGATGAGCTCTTCTATTTTGGCCTGCCGTTCTTTGCCAACCGCGGAATTTGCTTTAACTTCGACTTGGACGAAATTATTCTCTATAACCCAATATTGTAATTGTCGTACTATTTGGTTACTGAGTTAAAAAATATAATGCCAGTCTTATGAATAAATGACTACGCGCAGAATGTTCTATTTAAATATTATAATATTATGTAGGTCCCCAAGGTTCAAGATACGCCTTGAAAACGTGTATTCAGATGTCCACACAAATGGGAAAGGCACGTAAATCCGGAGAGTTTAACAGAAGCAAGAAGCTGATTTAAAGTGATTACTAAACGCTGCCATACCCGTGAAGTTATATGCATATGTGTTGCATATAAATACACTCCATTTCAAAATGATAGACACGCCTATAAAATTTGCAATTGCGGTGTCGGGGTTCAGTTGACGGATACGAAACCTAAACAGGTTGAAAGAGGAGGTTTGAAAACCTACACCTACAAATCAATTTTCTCATTGCACTGTAATTGCACTTTACACAAAAGATTTTCCAAATTTTGGGTGTTTCAAAATGATAGACACGGCTGATATTTTTGCCAAAAACTTGCGAATATGGGCTCCATGGAGCTTGAAATTATTAGTATGACTGTATTGCAACTGTCTGGACTTTACTGAGCTCAAAAAGCCCAAATTTTAATGCAATTGTCCCGGAATTGCACATATACCTCCATTTTGTGCAATCTGGCCTGCATTTGTCAGAAGTCCACTTTCCATGGGCACAGACAGTGCAGAAGCGACCTATGGTATGTAATGGCGTAGATCCAGTCAGTTTTCACCGGTATGCAACACAAAAATGCGTGGCAATTGCAACAAAAACTGATTCCGCTGCGACATAGTCAGCTTTGAAGGCTACCCTACGTTTCGAAACAAGCTAGATGCGAAGAAAGACTTCTTGGCTGGAATGTTTAGGGTTTTGTAAATACGTTTAGCACGGTAGCATGTGCAGCATTGCTTCGGCGGGTCCGCAGTGCACCATTCTTTTGCGAATCTATGCAGAATAGGCTTAAAAATGGGTTAAAAAGGGCTTTTTGCAAACTTGACGTTTTCTGGCGTTGGCCCGACTGAACGTGGACATAAGGATTATGTAATAACGTTTGTTTGTGGGTTTTCAAGATAGTTCAGAGCTTTTTGGGTTGTGCAAACGACAGGCACCCGCTTGAGAAGCTTTAAAAGTGACGACTTTCGCTGCGGAATCAGTTTTCGTTGCAATTTCCACGCATTTTTGTGTTGCATACCGGTGAAAACTGACTGGATCTACTCCATTACATACCATAGGTCGCTTCTGCACTGTCTGTGCCCATGGAAAGTGGACTTCTGACAAATGCAGGCCAGATTGCACAAAATGGAGGTATATGTGCAATTCCGGGACAATTGCATAAAAATTTGGGCTTTTTGAGCTCAGTAAAGTCCAGACAGTTGCAATACAGTCATACTAATAATTTCAAGCTCCATGGGGCCCATATTCGCAAGTTTTTGGCAAAAATATCAGCCGTGTCTATCATTTTGAAACACCCAAAATTTGGAAAATCTTTTGTGTAAAGTGCAATTACAGTGCAATGAGAAAATTGATTTGTAGGTGTAGGTTTTCAAACCTCCTCTTTCAACCTGTTTAGGTTTCGTATCCGTCAACTGAACCCCGACACCGCAATTGCAAATTTTATAGGCGTGTCTATCATTTTGAAATGGAGTGTAAGTTACCGGTAAATAAGGAGTGCCTCTGGTTTATAAAGTTGTTGCTTTTATAAAACAAATTTATCAACCGTCGCTAACATCTGCTACTCGAAGATTGTTCTTATGAAACGCGATCGATTTGTCTTTTATTGGAAAGGAAATTGTTTCGACTTCGGGAAAGGCGAGGTGGTATTTTCCAAAATCGAATTACAAAGCAAATTTATCGATGAAAATAATTCATTTCAAGACCTTTGTTGCACCGCTCTAAGATTTTATCATAAATTCCGGGGTCATCCTGTGATTTGCAATGTGGAATGAAGATTTTGCATCGTCTGGGATCTTATGAGGGTGATGGAAGACAACCTCGTCCCTTTCGTAGTATAGACAAACCAATTTGTCGACGAAAAATGGAATACCAAAGACAAAGTTGTTCTCACCGTTGGCCTCGATTTTTAAAAAGCAATTCCCGCCCTCTCTTCGTAGCAGAGTGGGGAAATTAATTGGTACAGCACTTCCATTAGTCGTAAACGACAAGTTATAATTCTTGCCACAGTCAACAGAGTAGCCCTCACCCACTTTCGTCGCATTCAACGCGGCCATAATCGGCGCCAAGTACAGAGGAGGGACCAACAGACTGTCAGTGGTGGTGGAGATGGTAACAGTTTGCTCGAGGTCATATGTTTTCTCGTCTAATGTAAAACGAGACATCGGGACCTTCCACAGGGTGGGTTCTTTGGCCACAACTTTGGCAATAGAATAGGTGGGAGTTTTGTCTGGATCTCCGCCGATCACTGTCAGTGTTTCAACACTGAAAAAAGCGTGTCTTGGGAGAACTCTTTAGATTAGAAGGGAGGTATGGTATGAAGATTTGGAAAGCCTTTCATGATTAGACAACCTTTCATACCAAACCTGTTGTTCACAATCTATAAGTTGCCTGTTTGAAACCGGAAAGAGAATATTCGTCTCATGGATCTCGTATCATAAAAATTATACCCTTTAATTTGGAACTGTGATGATTGGGGAAAAAGACGATTGAGGAAAAGTACGATTAGGGAAACCGAAAAGTATTATTTTTCTTCGATGCAAGTGTCGAAACTAGGATAATCGAGGGTGCCGATTCCAAAAATGACATAGATTTTTTTGATTTTTACTTTTTTCCTTAAGTAGTACTGTAAAGTAGTAATTTTTTGATTTTTTCATGAATACTCGATTTGGGGGTTTTCGATCGTGCTGCTTTCAAATCAGGAAGACCTTGCTGATTTCGAAAATCTTGTTTATTTTTCCTCATCTGAAAGCGGCACCATCGAAAACCCTCAATTCATGTATTCATGAAAAAATTACTACTTTCCAGTACTACTTAAGGAAAAAAGTAACTATCAAAAAATGAATGTCATTTCCGAAATCGGCACCTTCGGTTATCCTAATTTACACACTTGCATCGAAGAAAAATAATACTTTTTGGTTTCCCCAATCGTCCCAGTTTCAAATTAAAGGGTATAATTTATGTGATACGATTCCATGAGACGAATATTCTCTTTCCGGTTTCAAACAGCCGTCTTTTTTCCCCATTCGTCTAAAATTTACCCCCGTTTAATTTTGGGCATAAAGAAATTTTTGCTTTTAATTCTCCCTAAACGCCCTATTGGTTTCTACAACACGCAAGCTGCAAATTTTGCATGCATTTTGAACGGACCAGGTCAGACATTTCTCTAAATTTCATCAAAGCGTCACACTTGTTGGTTGTTTTTTCAGTACAATAATCTAATCGAAGCCCTTACCCATCCTTCCCCAGCCACGCTTGTCCACAAAACACCTTGTACGGCGCTGCTTTAAGCAGTTCACTTCCGAGATTGGTCCTATCATTGCTTCTCGCCAAGCCCACTCGGCCAGCCGCCCAGAGATTCTCTGCATTCTTTGCCGGGTTAAAATCCCCTTCGATTTTGTTGGCGACCGCAAATGTTGCGTTCAGTGGCGTTATACCAGCAATCATAAGGCCATCCTGTCCCAGAATCCCTGTGACCTTTGCCTTTTGCTTGCCATTCTTGTAATTAACAGCATAAAAGGAGGAATATCGTTTGAAGTTTTTTGCAGTCTCTGTGTAAAACGTGTTTCCGATACCGGCGTCGTCCGCGAATTTCTTAGCATCAAGCACAAAGGATGTTGGCGAAGCTATGTCAATAGTGAGGACTCTTACGCTGTCAACGTCATCGTTGAAACTAAAGATTTGTCAAATAAAAATTATGCCAGTGCTCAACTTACTCGAATCCGAAACTAAAACTCGTCGCAACGCCGAAAGCAGTCAATAGCAGTACAAAGACAATGCTGGAAGACATGTTTGCGGTATAATTTTTCTCCAATCTCTTATATACTCCTAGCTTTTGTGATAAGTTCCTGCCACACCTTGCCTTGCTTAAACTACAATTAGACGCCATACAATTAGATAAAAATCGCTCCTTTGGGCCAACTCGAACAAATTTATATTTTGTGTCGATTTATCATGATAATAATCTGTTTCTGTCAATGAATTAGTTTAATAATAATGTTATATTACACATAAAAAAATTGAAATTTTCGGGGCTATTATAACCCAAATATAATACAATCTTTAATTTATAAATTAAAAATCTACCGGATGTAAAAATTGAAAGGCTAAGCGCCGCATCTATTACACAGGTTTATCGACCTGTCCTGGGCCGGGCGAATGCACCGCGAGCAAAATACGAATCCACAAGAGGCGCAGTGTTGACGTCGATCGAATCTGGAGACAAATTCTCGACGACAAACAGCGGAAGCGCATTCTTCACAATTTAGAAGGGGTTGCCATTGGAGAGCGACTTTTGGGGGTAGCTAAAAATTTTACATTTTTTGAAAATTCGATTTGGAAAAGATTTTATATTTTTTTATAAAAACTTTGATCGCACCGTGCATTCACAAAGAATTTTTTCTTCGCGCTGTGCGATAAAAAATATGCAAAGTTTTCCAACGAGCAGTTGGAAACTTATATAATTTTTTTTTTTTTTTTTTTTTTTTTTTTTTATTTCTCCGTCAGCACAGTGCACTTTTTTCTCTTTCATTCGCACTGTGCAAAAAAACAATAAAAAAAATTCAGCACCGTGCGCAAGAAAAAATTTCAATTAATTTTTTTCCATTGCACTGTGCGTTTATTGATCCTTCCGGAAAGTCGCCCGACTGAAATTGACGACGTGCGAAAAAACAAAAATTTTCTTTGCACTGTGCAGCTTCTTCATTTTTGCACTTTTTTGAGCTGTCGCTTGCACCCCGACTTTTTCGCACAGTGCAAGCACCAAAAATCAGCCCGGCGACTTTCCGGAAGGAGTAGTACCAAAAAAATAAAATTCCAACTTTTTGAAAAATAGCCAAAACCTACATCGCCATCTCCTTTGAGCATCCTTTCCATCAGAACATTGTGTTCTTTTATCGCCGATCCCAAGTCCGCCAGATATTCTCTGGGCTGAATTCCAGTGTCGAAGCGATTATACAGAGCGCTCCATACCACAATTGCAGAATATGGGAGTTCAATTCGGTTAATGTCCAAGGAATTTGGCTAAAAATTTTAAGAAAAAAATCGTATTTTACCAAAAAAAACACCCTTGAAAAATTAAATTTTACCTTATAAAAAGGATTGCTATAAGTGTTCAGGTTGCTTTCCATATGTTTCCACAAAGATTTTGTCCTCTGATAGACTCGTAAATCCTAAAATCCAGTAATCATCATCATGAATAATAAAAATTTCTCAAAAATATTAAAAATTTACCGTCCGATCTTTGTCACAATTGCCCAAGAATGTCCCAAACTGACAAGAATACGAGTGTTCGCTAATTTCGAACAAAAACCTTTCATTGAATTCAAATACATGAGGTTCCACACGCATAATTTGATAAACAACATCAATAAATTGGGTGAAAATCGGGGAGATCTGAAAATTCTACTTGCAAAAGCTTAATCACCGTACCACAGCATTCCGAGGTTTTTTGCCGCCACCGATCGGTGCCGATTTTCGCTCAAAATGACAACAGGGCTGCGCGCCTCCGCTGATAACTAGCTAGCCCAGAAATGAAAAAGAGTAAAAATTGATTTCCAAATAGAGTGAAAAAAGACCTATCCAATGATATACAGGGTGACCCAAAAAAACGATCATCAAATTTGTTTGTGTCCTAACGCGAAAATTTTTAGATGCAGGGAAATAATTATTACACTATTAAATTCTCCGTGTTTTTTTGTCCTAGTACTTCCCTTTTCATGTCCATATCGATTGATTAACATGTTTTTTTAAATGTCAAAAGAAAGGGACTGCGATTTTGGGACCGTTTCGACAAAAGGAAACTTGTTAATTTGCTAGATGTGGAAAGGACGCTGTGTCGAAAGCAATCACAAGATACAAGTAGCTCGGCAACAGTAGTCAGCGTCCAGGAAGTGAAAGAAAACGCACCGCAAACACTTCTGCGAGACGCGGCATCATTAACAACAAAATCCGCGAATTTCGAGAAAAAATCGCCCGCAAGAACGGTATCAGCGATCGATTCGTCTACCGAATAGCCAAAGATAAGCTCAACCCCGTACTGTACAAGCCGCAAAAAGGTCAACCCCTCAAGGGCGGCAACAAGCGCGTAGAGCGCCAGAGATGCCTGAAACTTAAGGGTCGGGCCGCAGCTCAGAGGTGTGAGCGCATTCCTTTCGTGGTTCAATGTTTAACGGATGCACGACCACCAGAACGACAGGATCTGGTCCAATGAGACCCCGAGCACATTAGCTAACGTCAAAACCCGAAAAAATGCGGACCGTTACCCTCTGTGGCGGAATTTGTGCCAGCGGCAAGAAATCCATGCTTTTAGTGGATCAAGGGGGCAAAATTCTAGCTCTGCGTTAATCTCCATCTCGTCGTGCTTCCGTTGACTTAGAAGAACCTTGGCGATGCAAATTTGGCGTTTCAACTAGACTCAGCGCTGGCTCACAAGGCAAAAGCGGTTCAAGACCAGTATTGGGACCGATTTTTCCGATTTGACCCAGTCTGCGAAAAGTGCGCCTGCTCGCCGGATCTGAGACCGATGAACTATAAATTTTTTTCAATTGGAGGGCAGTACCTGTACTACACGTCACAAAAGTTTGGAGTCACTGAGTGATCGCTGCGCTGAGAACGGGAACGATTTCCCCGAAAAAAGCTGCGGCCCCGAGCCCAAAATTTTAAGTTACGTTTGGCGCTCTATATCGCCGCCAAGTGCTGCTGCGAAAGAAACTAGCTTAGTACTTGATCACCAGGTTTGTTGTTTATCGTTTGAATTCATAAATTTGCGCTTGTACCGAAAAACAAACTTTTTATTACGAAAAGTCTTGATGATCGTTTTTTTGGGTCACCCTGTAAATAGGTCCTATTGACTTTCTCCCCACAACGATCTTTTTCGCCTACAAAATTACAAATTTTTTTCGTTTATTCATGGATAAATGCACTTTATGAGTGCATAATTAAAAAAAAATGGTACCACTCGATAGCAAATAGCCTCTTCTATGTCATATCCAAAAATAAGGGAAATTCCGGCCCTTAGGGCACTACAAAATCCAAAAAAATAGCGTATTTTACGTGTTTTTGCATATTTTTCGGGATTTTTTGCACCGGATGCACAAAAATGAAAAATCGGCTGTTATAGCGTTGTAGTGCACTCTCGACTACATATACCTGCCAAATTTCACATTTTCATCTTTACTTCACTTTGTGTTCTGAGCCGGTTTAGGTGTTAAGGCAACATCGCTGGATACGGCAATGCCGGATGCCGATTTTAAATTTTTTTTTTCATTTTTGAGACATATTGCGTTCATATCAATATTATATACTGATTTTTGCTCCAGATGACAAAATGCCCTTTCATAAATTGACGTAATGACACCAACGTGTTTGAGTTCAACAAGACGAAAATAAGGGAATTTTTGTTTCAGGACTAGCATTTAGGTGACAGCAGACCTGCCAGAATATGCTCCGACGTTTATTTGGCTAGAAACAGGTATGGAATCCGGATGCAGCGACGTCCCGTAACACGTTGCACATGTGCGATTTTACTTAAATTTACGTTATATACATGACGTTCAAAGTCAATACGACTGAAAAGACAGAAAAAAAATTTAAAATCGGCATCCGGCATTGCCGTATCCAGCGATGTTGCCTTAACACCTAAACCGGCTCAGAACACAAAGTGGAGTAAAGATGAAAATGTGAAATTTGGCAGGTATATGTAGTCGAGAGTGCACTACAACGCTATAACAGCCGATTTTTCATTTTTGTGCATCCGGTGCAAAAAATCCCGAAAAATATGCAAAAACACGTAAAATACGCTATTTTTTTGGATTTTGTAGTGCCCTAAGGGCCGGAATTTCCCTTATTTTTGGATATGACATAGAAGAGACTATTTGCTATCGAGTGGTACCATTTTTTTTTAATTATGCACTCATAAAGTGCATTTATCCATGAATAAACGAAAAAAATTTGTAATTTTGTAGGCGAAAAAGATCGTTGTGGGGAGAAAGTCAATAGGACCTATTTATATCATTGGATAGGTCTTTTTTCACTCTATTTGGAAATCAATTTTTACTCTTTTTCATTTCTGGGCTAGCTAGTTATCAGCGGAGGCGCGCAGCCCTGTTGTCATTTTGAGCGAAAATCGGCACCGATCGGTGGCGGCAAAAAACCTCGGAATGTTGTGCGTACCTCCTTTGCACTTTCATCATTCCCAGTCGTAATATGACCGCATCGGTCGTCAAATTTGAAGCCAAATCCAAGCCAATCTTTGTCAATCAACGTTTGAAAGCCTTTGATAGTCTGATAAAATGGATCGAGTAATAACTGGGCTATTGATACCGTTTGGGAGGTTCGATCCCATCCGTCAGAGCAATGGACAACACAAGAATTACCTAAAACATGAGGAAAGTAACAATCTAGAAAAAGAAATAACCGTATTTTACAAAAACTGCTCTCAAAATATCCAAATAGCATTACAGACACTATATCATCTATTTTACCAACTGATGACATCTTATACGATCAAATCTGTCCGAAAGGCTACCGGACAATTTTAATCGTATAAAATGTCACCAATGCAAAAACCAGTATAAGACCTGAACCCTTATGAGGCAAGGTATCCGTACATATTGTAATACTTATTCCCTTCTTCTATCTTTATGTTAAACTACCCGTTTTTTTCAAGCCCCCCTTACCAATAACCAAACTGTCCGCAATGAATTTCCCACAATCAAACAGCGCCTTCAAATGCTTCAACCATCCCGAAGAATCCACCGCCTTCAAGTACTCTGTAACTGACAGTTGTTTTTGGCATGCATCGAGTAGTTTTTGTTGAGATTGCCTCATTACATGGATATTTTCGATGTCGAAGAAGTGAAATTGCATGTTCTGATAGTTCCTGGCGTCTTCATAACCTTTTCCCTGAACTTTGTTGGCCATGGCGTTGATTCGCGGTCGAGTGTCGACCACATAAACCGGGGCTGACGAGCTTGGATTGGCATTTCGGATCTGCTCCATTAAATTTTCATCTTCAACGCATCGCGCGGAGAATCCAGAGAGGGGCTGGGCACAACTGAAATTCCAAGTGTTTAAGCATGTATTTTACAACAATGGGCTTTTTATACGACCAAACGTTTCCTCGACAATTTTACCCCAAAAAATGTTCCGTCGTATAACATGTCACCCATTATCATTTTCGACAAAAAATCTTCTCACAATGTCCGAAATCGACTCACCGACAAATGACAGCACCAGTGGGCTTGTAAAAGTAGGTCAAAGCAGGCAATCTTCCTCTTGATCTAAAAGATGCGCTTCCAATCAAAACTTGAGTCGACGCGTTGGCCGGGAACCACAACTTCTCTGGATATGTGTCTGAGTACACGTAATTCCTATTGAAATCCGATAGTTTCCAATTCTCATTCAACTCTTGTCGTTGGAACTCGTCTTCCCAATTCAATCGGTTCCAATCCGCATCTGCTCCAGAATCCTTGTCTTTTTCACGATGAATAAAGGCGAACGCTCCACTGATGTTGTCTGAAAAGGAAGAGCAATAAGTCCACTGATCTCGAAAAAAAAATTAAATTTTTTTTAGATACCAAACGTCCAAATACGGACCAATCTGTCCGAGGTGTCAGAAGTCACCTAAAACAAGATAAAAATACTTTAAAAACTTGCACAATCTTGCAGAAGCCATTAAGCATTCGTAGATCTCCTGAGTGTCCCTCTCCTTAGCTATTAGAAGCGTTAACGAAAGGAAATGCTTGCACTTTATCGTCAACATCGTCCCATTTGGTGTCAGTGCACTCTTTTCGATGGATTGAATCAATGCATTTAGTATCTGAAACGACTACATAATAGCTTTCCAAAATTTGAAGTTTGGCTTGTTATTTTACTGCCTAAAAACGAACTGAATTAAGAGAAATTACTTACCCAAATCTCTTTTCCGCCGCCATCACTTCGGAAAACGGTATGTGACGATGTAATATGAATCGAGCCGGGGATATTTGGCTCAGAACCGAGTCGATCCACCCACTGGACCTTCTTCATCTGGAACGCCGACTAAAATCGAAATTAGGTACTGCGAAGCCAGCCAAATCGATTCACAAAAGCTTGGCCAAGCATATTCAGCCAAATTAAACAATTAAAAGGTTTACAACAAAACAAAGGTTACGTTGTTACACCTAAACTTATAAAAGAAATAATAAAGTTAAACTTACAGTTGGAGTAGAAACTTCTCCGGTCCGATGCATTTTTATGGCTTTTCGTCAAGTATAATATAATTTGATAGTGCTTATAAACTTCAGACAGTAATTCGGCCAATAATTTAATTAATTATGCAATTTTTCACCCATTTAAAGTAGAGGAATGTTTATTATTTTATTCATACATAAAAATAATGTCTAAAATCCCGAGCTGCGCCCGGGATTGTAACTGAAGCGCACTCTGCACGGACAACTCGTCCGTAAACTAGTCTTGAACAGTCGGAGAGGCCCACAATCACAACAAGAAAGCCTCAGACGTAATAGTAAAACATGTTTTATTATCAATTAAAATAAATAACATATTTTAGGTTACGAATTACTTCAACAAAATACAAAACTTGACCCTTATTGAATCTGGTAGGCTAAATAAATTAAACATTGCAAAGAAGGACCAGGAACCTATACAAGGCAGTCGGAAATTATTGAAAGTTTTAGACAACTCGTCGGACTTCGAAGAATCGCTTGAGGTAGTAGACCTGGCCGATGGACATGCCAACGATAACAATGGCTTCGAAGATGGCCCATTGGACAACTCGGCTGTTCGTGTTTTCGTTGACTGAAAATAGAGGGGTTATATATTTCACTATAATTTTCAATTCTCAAACACTTCGAATAAGATTTGCCTTCTCCGCACTGTGCAAAAATCTCTTCAACTTACTCGATCTGTGAACTCTTTCTCTGACTTCCATGTATTCCTGTTCGTGTTTCACTGAAGTCAACGATCCAGAAAGCTCCCTGACCATCTCTTCCAACTTTTTGCTCTCGGCATCGTGAGCAGCAGCATCCGCAGAACCACCAGCAGCAGCCTGAGCAGCCTGTCCTTGTCCAACATCAATCGTGAAGAGAACGACCTTTGGAGTCATTGTGGACATCTTGTTTCCAAAACAGAAGTTGTACACTCCATCCATGTGGGCGGCGAAAGTGTACTTCCCAGAGGTTTCACGCTCTCCTTTGTATACTTCTTGATTGTCAGGTCCGGTGATCTGGAATGGAGCAGATAAGCCCGATTTTAAGCATAAAATCAAAAGTTTTAAACATAAAACCTCCATAGTATCATTTCACAGCTATTTATATTGATGTTCATCTCCTAAAAGTCGCAACAAAAGAAAAAATGGGAAATTACCTTAACATCAATATCCAAAAATCCTCCTTCCGCAACTTCGAAAATCAACGCCATCTTGGTCCCAGACGACACCCGTTCGAAGAAACAGATCTCCTCATTAGCGTCAATCGAAGTGAAATAAGCCTGGGCGAGTACTGGCAGCAACGCCAGCAACAGAAGTTTGGACATTATTCTAGATGGCTATTCCCTGAAACAAACTGAATATCAAAGAGAACCGGTGTTATAAATAAGTACATTGCCTCCAGAAAGCAAAAAGACCGGAGTAATCCAAAACCTTATAAATCTTATACAAGTTACGGCGTTTTTATATTACACATGGCATTTCAGGTCGGAAAATGATGAAACTGTATGATATACGACTTTTTTACAAATAAAAAAGCACTGTGTACCGAGTAAAAGCCCTAGTTCTTCTATATAGATTAAAAACAACATCAAACCCCTCTCAAGACCGGAAAATATAAAAATTTCACTGAAAAGATGGCCGAAAAAAACAAAATATCGATAATAAAGGGAAAATTGCCCGTAAAAATATCCTACGCCATTAGTCTATCATTTTATGCCCATTCTCGCCTATGGGCAATAAGAATTTCCACGTAAAAATAAAAATCTCTCGCCTGCAACGGAATGCCAAGATACGTGTGCGAGATCAGGGAAAATTGCGGGAATTCAAAAAATTATTTTACTAAAAAAATTTTTTTTTTTCGATGTTCGATAAGAGAACAGAGAAGCGGGAAACAGACGAAAGAAGAGAATGTGGAGGTTTTCCGATCGAAAATCTACTAGATTTCTGTTTGAATCAGCTGATTTCCCCAGTTTTTTTGCGAAATTTTGCCAGTTTTTGAGGGTTTTTGGGGTTTTTGAGTTGAACTTTATTTGACTCTCTTGGTCAGAGGTTTCTGATGAGATTTGCGATCAGAAACGACGTAAACTCGCGGAATCCTATGGATTTTGTTGATTTCACGGGGTTTTATTGCGTAATTCTTTCAATTTATTCGTTTTTTCGATGAGTTCTGCAAGTCGATGGGTCAATTCTAATGTCCACGAGCTTGACCAGTGATGATTCATCTGTCTAGGGTTTTAATCGACTTTTTTTGCAACGCTTTTTTTCGATTTTCCGTCTAAAATAATATACTTTTCGAAAATTTTTTGAGTTTTTTTCATTTTTTCCGATTTTTCATTGCAATAAATCCTCTCTGGCCCGATTGAACTGTGCGATTTGGCGGATTAGAGGCCGTTTATTTGCCCAGGAATTCTCGCGCTGACCGGAGATTTGTGTTCGATTACTCATAATTTTAATGGTGGTTCTGCTCGTGCGGGTCATGAGGTTATCGTTTTTGTAATAATGACGGTTTATTCGAGAGAAGAAATGAGTTTTTTGATGGGTGAAAAGAGGAAGTTCGCTTGTATTTTGTGGGATCTCGGAGATTTTTTTTTGAGTTGGTCTTGGTTTATTATGTTTTTCTTGGTATTTCCTGTTGTTCTTGATGATTTTAATGTGCTGTTTGGTTCCTCTATCGGCTTTATCGCATTTTCGATGACTTGCAATCAAGGGTAGACCTATCTTTAGATATCTAACTATCTAAAAATGGGTTTTCATATCCTTGTCGTGTGTAATGTCAGAATTCTTTTTTTTTTTGTTGCTATCTTATTACGCAGTGCAATCGCTTACCCATAAATTAGCTCAGTTTCCCTCGTTCAACCCAAAACGACTCTCTTCCAGATGGTTTTGGAGTCTAATCGGATCCGTCTTTGTCTTTCCTAACAAGGCTCTCTCCGTCTCTTCGAGAATTCCGTTTTGAGAATTTTAAAACAAGAGGTCAGTTCTTCGAGCCTCGGAATGAGGCCCAACGGTCGGGCCTGGCCAAAGGTTTATGCTAAATAGTGACGTCGTGAGAGTCAATTGTTGATTCTGATATCGGGCATAGCTTGATGTCATGGTGATTTGTTTGGAACTTATCTTGCTTTGAGAAAGAGTCGATATGGTTTTTGAAGGGGATGGAAGATATTTTCCAATAGCCAAATAAACACAATCATCCGATCCTATTTTGATGTCTTACAAGTCATATCATTAGTTTGTGTTTATCTTTTGTAATTATCAAGGCAAAAGTACAGGGTGTCCAGAGAAATTCCGCGGAAAGTTTTTGTCGATTTCTCGGCGCTTCTGCAAGATATCCAGAAAATTCTTTTTGCACTGGAAAGAAGAATATGCGGAGAAAAAAGTTTTTTAGGCAAAAAAAACCGCACATCTTCTTCTTTATAGTGCAAAAAGAATTTTTTTGGATACTATATCGTGCATGAGCGCCGAGAAATTAACAAAAACTTTCCGCGGAATTTCTCTGGACGCCCTGTACCTTGATAATTACAAAAGATAAATATAAACTAATAGTTATCGTAGACTTGTAGGACATCGAAAACAGGATGAATGTGTTTATTTGGCTGTTCGAAAATGTCTTCCATCCCCTTTGAATATCTAATTCGAGGCTTTCCGGATGGACAATGAGCCGGCTTGTGTTAAAAGCCGCTCTATTCAAAAAGTCTTTGGATACGCAGCCTTTTTGGGGGAATTTAATCTTCGTGTTTATAGAGGAGATATTCTGGTAGCAGGTTTGATTGCTTACTGACGAATTAAGAGGGCTTTTCATCCGGTTTTATTCCTGATATAGCAGCTATTGATAGTGCTCTCTAAACGGACCTTCTTCGAACGAAATTCCGTCGAAATTGACCTCAGAATTTTTCAAATTTTCTCATTTACTTCGTATTTACCCGTAATTTTTGGCCCAGTTCCCTCGAAAATTTAGCTCCAGACGCTTTTCCAAAATTAAAAAAACAATTTTCTATACGAGTAAATATTTTCGGAATGACCAAAACGAAGAGGGCTTTTTTCACATGCCAAAAGTTTTTGCGGAAAGGCCTGGCCACTTTTTGGGGCCAAGAAAAGACTCTCCCCGGAGGCTGTTCGCAAGATATTCCATGGAATCTTGTTTAAAATTCCAAAATAGAAGGTTTTGCAATTTATCATCTCGTTTTTCATTTCTTCGGAGGATCTGGTATTGTCTTCAGGGACTTTTTGAGTGGACCTAACATGAGCTATCGAGGTATCTTGGCTTAAATTAATGGTTGCGAATGGTGTTATTGCCTGTATAACACAATAGACTCTTCATTTTGCGATAGAATGATGTCACAATGAAAAACGGATTGCTTTGTCGTAAAAACAATCCGTATCCGATCAACTTGGACCATAAAAATAAACAAACAAGCTGTCGGAAAGTTGTGTACTTCAAGCCGCTTGTTAAAACTTTCTCTCCCAACCTTTTTTTCTCGTTAGCAGTTTGAAGCAGCCGATATTTGACTTGAGAAACGGCCGTATCTCGTTGCTATGAGATTCGTTTAGCTGGACCTCACGGTTTTTTATTAGATTTTGGGGTAAAATACGGCTTCATTGCGGTTTGTTAAATTGATTTCACAAAAATGGCCAATCGTATGGTTAAACAGAGGATTTTGTAATTCAAATGTTGCTCATTCGTGCAAATATTTGTTTATTAGGTTGTGTAACGAGCCAATTTAAATATGAATCACGGCGTTTTCCAATTTTGGAAACTCAAAAAACGAGAAAGAACCCCAGAGCCGTTCGATTTTTATAAGGTTTTGGGGGTGAAGCCAGCTGTATAAACAATGACAAAGCTCCAAAAAGGGCCATAATCAGATTTTCCTCTAGTATTTTTTAGTTACGAACGCATAGTTTGTTCATGGTTTGACGGTCGTAGTAGGGGTTGAAAATGTTCAAATTTATTACCGTTATTGGCATTAAAAACTAGTATTTGAAGAGATTGGAGCTCAAAGTTCATTTGGCATGAGAACTGGGGTATGTTCTCGGGGCCTTTTTCCAATTTGGACGCAAATCTTGACGGCGTATTATGCTTGGCTTTTTTGGAATTATTCGGCCCAGTTCTTTGTCCTCTCATTTTTTCGTTAAAGCTGAGCCGGTTTTTATAGTCTTGTCGGTTTAATCCGTTCACTATAATACTAAAATTTTGCCGGTTTTTCTTCATCGTTGAATTTTGGCATATTGTAGTAGGTAGTTTAGGCTTCTTAGGGTGTAATTTATATCTAAATAGCTTTCAATTGTTGACTCATTCGTTACTGCCTCGTATTAGATATTAATGGGAGTCTGGAATCGTTCAATTCCTCAGTTTTAACGAGTATTCATCTTAATAATTCCAAATATAGAGGAGCAGTAAGTCAAAGAAAACATAGCTTCCAATCTCTGTGGGTTAATCTCGTCCTTCCTCCGTAAAACATTTTGAATTCGAATTTGGTCCATTTATCATCCCGGCCAAGAAAAGAATAGGGAATGAACAGCGGGAAAGGCAAGACGAGGCGCTCGATGTCATAAATAAGGCTTTGTAATGACAGAAGATGATGTGTTATGGACGGGGAGAACGGAATATTGGGAAATATTGATTACTGAGGTTATCTTAGAACCTCAGTACTCAATATTTCCCGGTTTTCATAGTTCTGGAAGTATAACTTAACTGTCAGGGGAATTGGATATGTAAAATATGCTTTCTATCTTTTCAATGTTTCAAAAGTGTATCTTTTTGTTCAATTTTCTCCATTTTGAGGCTATTTTTTGCCTGTTTATTCCTGAAATCCCTAGTCATTATGTCTGGCTTCACATTTAGACCTGCCAAGAATTATTAGTGTCGGAACGAGGTTTAAACTAGGGTAATTTGCCGTATCTTCTCGATACTTTCGACGAATTCCAAGACTATTTTTTGGCCGTCAAAAGAAAAATTTGCGGAATGAAATTTATTCGAAGAAGATGTCTTTGCTCCATAACGACGAAATTGATCTGTTCACAAGAATTTTTGATCGCAAATTGTAAAAAGTTTGCTGTTTTCGGAGAATAGATTAGATTGTTTTTATCAATTAATGAAAATACTTTTCTTATCTGCTGAATTTGTTAGTCATACTGATTGACTAAGTGGCTAGGAAGGTCTTTTGCTTGAAACTTTTAAAAATTTTGATTGCGAAATTTTTAAGAATAGTTCGTAAAATGCCAATCAAAATTGTGTTTTCAAATTTCTCCCAGAAATAGCCAAATCCCCTTAGGGAACAAGAAAAAATCCCTCGTTTTGTGATGCAATAATAACTTAAACTAATGCCCGAAATACCCAAGTGAATCAAGGTTTCCGACGTTTCCAAATTCCATTCCATTTCGGGGTCGGTAAATCATTTCCGCCCACTTTTTATTGCCCATTCTTGGTGCCATACCCCCGTCCTGCACTCCTACTTTTGATAGGATTCGGAGGAACGGATTCTATTCCTTCTCTTCGAACTTTGTTTGGCATAATATTTGCCTGTATTAACTATCTAAAGATTGATTTTGGATATTATATTAGACCAGGCGTTTAAATCAATATAATTGGTCTCTTATTCGTTGAATATCGGAACTGGATTGCTAATATTTGATGTGAAATACGCGGTATTTCCCACCCCACGACTTGTACATTGTTCTGGCCAAATTCGAATATTCTAATATTGGAAATGCAGCAGTTTTACCTCAAGCCCCCGCCCCCAAGCGTTAATGGAAGATTAAGCCCGAGCGAGATGGACGACACGGACTCGCCGGGCTCCACACCCACCCATCGAATAACTGTGGGGCATGTGTATGATTTTGCCTCGGAACTAACCACAACCGCATATGATGAATTGAAGGAATTGATAGGAAAAGATGAGGCACGCCAGTACTTACTCAAAGTAAGAAAAAACGATTTTTTTTTGATGAAAATTGAGTTTTGGATTACAGTGAGCGACCTGATCCAGTGGCAAAAAACATACCATTTTGCATCCGGGAAGCATCAAAAATGTGGCAAAATGCTTCCGTCTCCAAGTGAAAAAACTTCGCAAAAAGAGCGGCTTTTGAAATCGGAGTTTTTTACTTGGAGAGGGAAGCATTTTGCCACATTTTTTGTACTTCCCGGATGCAAAATGGTACGTTTTTTGCCACTGGATAGGCACCCCCCACGGTAGTTTATACACTAATGAAACCGTATTTCAGTTTCAACCAGCCTTTGAGACCCTGGAAATGTTGGTAAAACGAACCGAAAAGGACAGGGACAAGATTGGACAACTTGAACGGACGATAGAAGAAATGGAAAAAGAGCGACAAATGAGGGCAAAACAGATGGAAGAACGGGAAAAGGTAATTATTAGGGGTTTTACGATGAGTTTGCGGTTTAAACTGATCTTCATTGATAACACTTGACCCAAAGTGTCATCTCTTTCTCGCATTGAAAATCCGATAAAATCCGGACACAGATGCATTTGTCATCCCAGTCCGGATGTGAGATGCTTGGAACTGAAAGAAAATGGGTTTTTGTATACTCAAATCTGTATTTTTTTCAGGAAATGCTGGAATTTGAAGATCACTACGGCAAGGAGAACAAGAATTTGTGGGAAATGGTGGAGAAACTAAAAGCCGAAAACCGCTACCTCCAAAACACGATGGAGAAACTCGCCGAGGAGACGGTCGAGGAGAAGCAAAAGCAAGGTAGGATTCTGATTTCCCGCACTGTCATGTTTGTGTTCACGCAATGTTTGTACAGCCAACGGCAGCCCAAAAGTTTCTTTTTTTTCGCCGGATTTGAACCAGTTTTGGACTAAATTTTGAACGAATTTTGTCGAGATTTGGTTAGCTTATGGGATCGATTTAGAATTTACTTTTGGTTTTGTGGGTTTTCGTACAAATTTTTCGAAAAAATATTCACCATCAGAAGAGAAATAAAATTAGAATTGCAATGAGGTCAGCGTTGGTTATTCGAAGACTCCGGTTTGCAAAAAGAACAGGATTTGAAGGCTGTAGATCGTCCATTAAAGCGTAATTGAAGCCTTCGGATCTTCTTTAGCCTTTTTGTGGGAAAATTGGCAGGCTAACTTTAGGTGGGCAGTATGATGTAATAAATAGCTTGAGGTATATGAGTCATAAAACATTTTGCAGATAGACCATGTAGATTTATCGTTGTAAATTTGGAAATGATAGCTTTGTCGAGCATCTAGTAATTGTTGGTTGTTATGGACCAATTATTTTTGGAAATTTTGCGGAAATTTTTGGTTTGATTTAATTTTCGAGTTTTTTTCTGTCAGTAAAAGACTTATTAAGGTTAATTAAAGCTTTTCAAGTCTAGGAATGGCATAAATTATCAAAATAGCGCAAAAATTATATTACACTTGACCCCGAGTCCACGAAAAATGCTTCTTTGGCTGTTACAATTGTTGCTGGTGGTGTTTGTGGTCGTGTTGATGGTATTGGTTCTGTTCCATAACTCAGGGTATGTAGTTCTGGCCGAAGAGGAGTTCGACTTGTTGCGCAACCTCAAGCACCAAAACCTCGAACAGCAGGAGAAGATCCGCGACCTCCACGAACAACTCAAAATCAGCGAAGGCGTGGAGAAGACGCTCCGCAAGAATGTGGAGGAACTGATTGCGGAGACGGAGAGGATGTTACGGAAGAACAAGTCGATCGAATCACAGTGCCGGACATTGTGGACGGAGCGAAACAACTATGTGAAGGCACAAGAAGAGCTGGAGGAGCAGAATCTCCGGCTAAAAAAGACCCTCGACCAGACGAGTCGGGCCTGCAATGATCTCAAAAACCAACAGGACATTCAACAAGACAAGGAGGATGTATGTCTTTTTTGGAGTGTTTTTTTTGACAATTTGACGAAATGTCACAATAATTATTGGGGTTTTGAGAATTTTAGATTTGTCCGTCTGACAAGGCGAGATGGCTCGGGTTTTTACTAGTCCTTCCGGAAAGTCGCCGGACTGATTTTTGGCGTTTGCACTGTGCGAAAAAAGTGAGGGCAGCGACGCCAAAAAAGCTTATATTGCACCTTGCAAAAATCAAGAGACTGCACGGTGCAACGAAATTTTTTGTTTTCGCACTTGTCGCCGGAGAGAAATCGTGAGAAAACAAAACTTTTCTTTGCACTGTGCAGTTTCTTGCTTTTTGCACGGTGCAATCGGCTTTTTTGGGCTGCACGTCAAAGAAAAAGTGAAAAAACAAGGAACCTCGGATCATTGATTTTTGACGAAATGTCGCTGAATTATTGAGTCACAAAAGAAAACTTTCCCAGAGAATTTCGAGAAAAATGTTTTTTCGAAGAGGAAAATAATTTTTCAAGCTCGATAATTCTGTGGCACTTCGCAAAAAAATCAATGATCCGAGATTCCTTGTTTTTTCAATTTTCTGAAAGAATTGTTTTGACGTGGGCTGTCGCTCGCACTTTTTTCCGCACAGTGCAAGCACCAAAATCGGTCCGGCGACTTTCCGGAAGGACCCGTAAAATCGCGAGCCATTTCGCCTTGTCAAACGGGCAGATCTAACATTTTCAAAAATCCAATAATTTTTGTGACATTTAGTCAAACTTGGATTCCTTTGAGTTTGGATGTTATATTATGGTTTCAGAGGAACGCTGATGACTATAACGCCCCCAAATTCTCTACTCATGATCTCCGCAGCATCTTGCGCGAAAATACCGAACTAAAACAGAAATTATCTCAATTCGAACGCCCGGAAAGTTCGTCCGGCGAAAGCGGCACCGAAACGTAAGTGTTTTTGAGCCCTTGGAACGGTAGTTTGAAGATTTTTGATAGATTTACCGGCTTTTTGAGCTGTTGAAGTGGCTTCTCGTTAGGTTTCCTACTAATCTACCGTTTTTTGGAGAATTAAGCGTAAATTGTTGTTACTTTTACTATCTCCTGCTCTCTTCCTAATGTGTTTGTCTTGCTTTAGAGCCACTGAGACCGCTTCTGTCGCCAGAGAGAGTGTCGCCGACTTCAGCGACTTGGAAGATCCAAAGTAAGATCGGCTTGGCATTTTCGGGATTTTTTGGTAGTTTTGTGTAATTTACGATATCCAAAAGGAGCTATGGCTCTTGTGCGAAGGTTTTTGGCAATGTACTTCCATTTTAAATGGTTTAAAATACGACAAGGGAAATTACGATAATTTTTTTTAATTTCAGGGGTGACGATGAAGTTGTTTATGGCCCAATCAACAAAGAACCGGAAGAAAAATTATATCCCTGGAAATATCAACGAAAATCGAGTGGAATTGCTAAATTGTAAGAGATTTACCGATTTGAATTTCGTATTTTACAATATTTTTCGCAAGTCCAGACATCTTTCATCGTATAAAATGTCACTTTTGTCCAAAGAGCAATGATTTTTACCAGGTTTTTTGTGGGAATTACATATAATGATTTACTTTTTCAGATTTTCCAAGCTCTTTTCTCCAAGCGCAGCCCGTTAACCCCGCCCGCCCACCCTTACCACACCCCCGATGATTGTCTTCAAGCCGACCCAAAGCCGCCATGATTCTCAACAGACTTTTATTCATTCTAAACCCATATTTTGTATATTTCACTTTACATTTTTTTGGTGCTTACATTCAATGTACATTCTCTAGTTATTTATTTTAGTCACTATTAAATTTTTAACGATTATATTCCTTTTTTTGTTTGTTCAATCGCCTGTTATTGATGTATTTATATATAATGCTAAATCTAGAATAGATTGAGTAAAGATTGACATCAAATTACTGTTGATTTTGACCAGTTTTCACCTAAAATAATCTCCAAAATTATTTAATTTTTTTATTTACCGGAAGACGACCCGAAACAACCAAAAAAACGCAAAGAGAAAAACATTGATTAAGACACTCAAACATCAAAAAAAAGAGACATTCTTGGCCCAGCGAGCATAAAAAATGGGGCCAAATCACATTCAATGAAAGTTTGGGGAAAAATTGAAAACTCTGGAATGGGGAAGAACACACTGTTGTAGGAACCGTGAACAATCCTAAATCGGGCGTGGGGGATTTTGAGGGGGGAAATTGGGACAAAAACCTAGAAAAGTACCAACAATTAAGCGATTTTGAATATTTTAGTGAAGAATCTGGTCAATCCTTTTCACAGATCGACACACTACTCCTATATATTGTAATTCTTGGTAGGAAAATCACAAAATAAGATAAAATAGACATAACACTATTCAATTTCCCCCTTTTTAGCCCGAAAACAACTTGAAAAACAATTGAAAAATGTGACAAAAGAACCTAAAATACGCCGTTGCCCTTTTGCTAGCCACCCGGATCGGTTGGATTCGACCTGGCGGGGTCTTTCCAACCTACCAATAACAAAGACGTTGATTTATACAGTTATTAAATATTAAAAAATGGATACATTTGTTAGACCAAATTGACCGGAAATGGACCTCCATTCCTCGCTCAGCTAATGTAGATCCGATGAAAGTCGTTGGCGCCGAAATTGGCGTTACATTTGGGGCACTTGCGGCGGCGTTGGTCGTAGCGCGTCCGTATGCATTTGAAGCAGAAGACGTGGTAGCACTTTGTGAGGACCGTGTCCTTCTCGTGCGTCTTACAGGAGGGGCAGTTCAGTTGTTCCTGAAACAAAAACATCGTAAAAAATAATCTTCATCATTTCTATGAGCCTATTTCAACCCAAAAATCGTTTTTCACAATCTCAGACTTAACCCCGACTTCCGTACAGTCTTTCTTAAACAAGAGAAACACTTGACCACAAGAGAAACACTTGACCCCAAAACGAGTCAACTCTCTCCCTCAATGCCCAATCTCCACAAATGAACTCAAAACTTCGAAAAACTCACCCTAAGGACCTTATTCTCCTCCATCAGGACCTCATCCATGTTGCCGGACCTCTTCATTTTCTTGAATTGGTCCAACTTCCTCTTCAGCGATGCCTTGTCCTCCTTTAACCTCGCGATTTTTCCGCCCGTCCCTTCCAGAATCGTCGCCTTCTCCGTAAGTCGTTTCTTCAAATGGCTAACTTCTTCCCCATACTTCGACAATTGAACCTTCAAATCTTCATATTCCTGGATGGCATCCAAAGTTTTGCGTCGTTGCGAGTCAAGGGCTTGAGATTTTAGCCTGAAAACACAACAATTCACAAAAATCATAATTCATCCACCAAACACAATTCATAATTTCTCAACAACTTACTTGAGATCATTCTCCAACAGCCCGATTCTTTCGTCCTGGGCCTTTTTGTGCTGTTCCAGGGCCTTGCACAATTGCATCGCGTCTTCGGCCTGCTTTTTGAGGGCTGCATTCTCGCTCATGATCACAACCTTCTCATTGTTCAATTTCATCTCATTATTAGCGCATTTGAGACGTTCGCCGGTGAGTTGGAGGATAGTTTCGTCCTTTTCATCCAGCTGGGCGCCCATACGTTTATTCTAAACAGCCAAGTATAATATGCAAAAAAAATTTTTTTTTAATTTTTTAACAATTCTAAACAGTCTTAACGTTCATTTTACATCCCATTAATTTCACAAAAATCAACTATTTCTTTCACTTCACCAAAAATTATGTTATCCATCACCCATTTCCTTACCTGTTCCAACTGATCCTCATACACCGAGACTGTGTTTTCCAGCTCAGCCATCAGTGCTTCACACTGTGCCCGATTCGAATACACTTCCTTCCGATACCTTTCCATTTTAACCTCCACTGTTTTGACCCGTCTTCGGAAGTCATCATGGAAGTACCGGCCGCGTTCTCTTCGCTCCAGGCGATGGAATTTCTTCACGTATTCCGTTAGAAGTTCGGATCTTTTCCGCAGGGCTTCAATCTGTGCTTGGAGATCCAATTTTTCGCCATCAACTCCATCTGCGCCTTGAAGAAGGGCGACTTTCTCTTTCAGGACCTCAATGTCAAGTTGAAGGTCTCTGAAAACAAATTTTATTGCTACCATTCAAATCAAAAACATATCCTAATCCCCATTCAGTCCTCACTACTTCCATTGACTCTCAAATTCTCTCCCAACTTACTCAATTTTCTTCTCTTTTTCCTTTAATTTCTCCACCATTTGAGTGATCTCGTGATCATTATTATTTCTCTCTGGTGTTCCTTGTTTCGACCCAAATTCTGGTCGATGTTTGATGCCATTGATTATGATCTTGTCCTTTCTTTGGCCGCATACTGGGCTGCTACTTCTGCTTCCATTCCGCTCTTCTTTTATTCGGACTTCTTCTGGACGGGGTTTGGGGGAATTTGACTCGAATGTGTTCAGGAACTCGGGTTTGGGGACCGGTTTTGGGGTTGAAGAGTGACTGGGAGTGGCTGGTTTGGCTAAAAATGGCTTTTACAACCAAGAAAAGTCCAAAATTTATATTATACTAGACGTCAAAAAGTAACAAAACTTTAGTTTTTTGTCCAAAAGTCACTCTTGCATGCCTAAAATCCAACAAAATAATATAAAAACTCACCATTAACATCCACTCCATTGCTTCTCGGCCTTGGACTAGCATTTTCGCTCTTTTGATAGGGCGGATAATCAAGTGACTTCAAGTTAGCAAAGATCCCAGGATTTGGGAGTATTTTCTCATCCGGACATGGGTCAATCACTTCATCCAGCCTGATAATGAACGAATTCTCCAAAGCCTTCTCCTTCTGTTCGGATTCCTCACGGACTCTTTGCAGTTCCGCTTGGCATTCCTTTAGCGCCTTCGCTGATATTTGTGCCTGTTTCTGAAGCCCAGAGTTCTGATTCTTCAGACCATCAATGATGTGGACCATTTCATTGTAGTTCGGCACTAAAAATCAATGTTTTACACATTTTCATCCACAATTTTATGCTATACATGAGTTCTGATCTAAAATTCAAGAAGAAAATTTAAAATCTTACATTTTGTGTCATGCGCAGCAATTTTCATTTGATATTCATTGTTCAAACTGTTGTATTCCAGCCGAACTTGACCCAATTCTTCGTTTAATTTCCGTGTTTCCAATCTCAGATTCCTCAAATCCCTTTGATGTGCTTCTTCGACTTTTTGAAGTTGTTCTTGTTGGGCCTTGCCGATATCTTCAATGTGTTTTTTGAGGAGTTCATTGCCTTCATTAAGCTCTTTGCATTCATTCATGAGGTTGTGACATTTGACCTGTAGAATCTGATAATCCGGCGCTGATTTTACCGCCTGACTCGAGAGGATATTCGACTAAAAAACAAATCTCAAATTGGGAAAGTATCTTACTTTTTGTTTGAATTCCTCCAATTCAGCAACCAAACTCTTGTTTCGATTAGTTAAATCTTCAATTTCAGCTAATCTTGAGGTAGCCAGCTCTGAATTCTCGTCCAATTCCATCTGCAACTCCCGTAACTTTTCGTCCGAGATATCTGCAGCGGGCTCTTGACTTGATTCCTTTTCTTTCGAGGCTTCTGGTGCAGGTTCAACCGTTTTTTGAGTCCTCACAAGTTCAACAATTCGGAGTTCAAGCTTCTCTTCTCGATCTTGCCCCTTTTCCAACTCAAACCTCAAGTTTTTGTTTTCATTTTGGAGGGATTCAACTCGATTCTCGAGAAGTTCGATCTGATCATTGTGTCTTGTGAGCTTCTTCTTCAATTGAGACCGTTCGGTCTGAAAAATTAAGTAAGTTTACCTCAGAGGCTACGAAAAAAGTCACAAATATAATTTTGGAACTTGCTACGGTCTTTACAAACCAACCAAAATAATTTTTTTTGTTTCGAAAAGTTTTGAAAAAGCTCGTTCATGTGTAACATAAAATTGGTTGTGGTATCCCCAAGAAAACCTGTAAAGCATTATTTTTGCTTCTATCAGATCTCCAACACCATGTGCAACAACAAGAAGACATCTTGTTTCATAAAACAAGTATTTCCACAATATTTTTCTATTTCCTTCAAGTCTCCCTAAAATCTGAACAAAAACAATATAAAATCGTACCTGCAGATCCACCGCAAGCTTTTCCAGCCTTGCATTCTCCTGAAGCATATCCAACGCTTCCTTTCTCACAAGCTCATTCAGATCTTCCTTGTCATCCGACGAAGAGCTCGAACTCGAAGAAGGAGTTGGCTCTTTGTTCTTCAGCAGTTTGATTATCCTCTTTCTTCTCGTCGACAGACTCGAAATCGACGCTACCAGTTTGGACAACGAACGAGCTGAAGACTCTACCCGTTTTTGAAGAGTTTCACTCAGTTCCTCGGAATCTGAGCGTTTGAATGCAGTGAGGAGACCTTGATACACAGGATCTCTGACCTCGGCAATGTCGTCAGGGTCGAAGCGCTGGAGAAATGTCTTGACTTCTTCATCAAACTGCAAGAAAACAATTTAGACCATGTCCTAAACGCCGAAAATCCAAAACATATCAATAAAAAACTCACCTTATTCCAGCAGGAATTGACCACACAAACCATTTCATCTTCCTGCTGCCGCTCATTTTCGATGGCCTCGATTCGACCTTCAAGTTCGCGACGTTGCCGGTCCTTTTGCCGTAACCTTTCCAAAGCTTTGAACAATCGTGCAGGATATATTCGGCTTTCAATTTCTGTCTGAAAACGGAAAATATCGCAAAAATACATTGTACATGATAAAAAAGGATGGAAAAGGTAAATTTTGATGTTCCGAAAAATAAACTAGTCTTCTTGGACAAAATTTTATCCCATAAACAGCGAAAGACACTATTTCAAGTCGCATTTCCACACAATTTCTTCTTTTCGGTGAATTTTGAACTGCACTATCACTTTTAACCTTTCAGGTAAGCATTTCACTTGAAATTACAAGGTGGAATTCCAGAATACAACTGTTTGAGAGAGTCTAAGAGCCGTTATAGTATGTAAACCCAGTGATTTCATCCTTTCAAATCAATTTGGCCAGCTACGTTCACTTTTGAAAAATTTTTTGTTTCTGCAGATCTTATCCATAAGACCTCATAGCTTCGTCAAATTCCTCTCCCCCTAAACTCAGAAAACCATTCTAAATTCTTCCTTACAGCAGATCCTATTGACGGAAGTCGAATTGGCTCAAATTCGACCAGTCGACTCCGTTTTGGGAGGGGTTCTCCGTCGAGAGTCGACTCATCTGACGGAGACTTGGGCATTTTCTCAAGTTTGTTGTAAATACCACGACCAATGGTTTGCCCTCCTTCACATTAGGTCTGAAATTTAGGTAAATTAATTATTCCAACAAGTCTCGCCAATTAAACGCGAGAAATTCGCTCAAAATCCCATCAATAGATTGGTGGGAAGTGCCAAGGATAATATGAGACTAATGTTTGATCAATTTTCAACCTAGAACACAGGGATAACCCGTCAATTGGATGGGGCAGACCGCACCACTAACCACAACTTATTTTGCAGCGGAAAAAATCCAAACGTACGAACACGACGAAGTGTCAGCAGACGGGTTATCGATTTTTGACACTTCGTCAGCTCCGTAAATGGGACAGTTTTTCGTCGGCATTGGTAAAATACGTTTGAAAAAAACGCGTTTGTTATCAATCTTCGTTTATTTTTAGACCGTTTCGTTACAAACTTTAGGGAAAAATTTGGTTTATCAGGCATCTTATAAAAAAGATGTTTGTTTTATACTATAAAATGTCAGTCAAACTGTAAATCGCTTTACTGTAACGTAAAACAGTGCGAATGATGGCATGCCATGTAAGAAGTCTACGTAATCTTTGTTTATTTTGTGTAATTGTTATTCTTCAGTTATAATTGGTCTCCAGGGCACTCGGATGCCGATGTAGTTCTTGTTTGAAGGCTGAAAGTGAGGTGAATTACAGAGTCCAACTCAAAGATCTTTTGTACCTTATTTTCGCTGGGATCGGTTCGTTTTCCAAGGTTTGTGTGTAGTTTGTGTTGATGGAGATTTGGGTTATCGAATCTTTGCGTAGCTGAAAATTGAGGTCATTTTAGGCGTTTTAATTAAAAAATTTTGAAGGAATACACACTTGATTGCTCCTGATATTCAGAGTGAGTTCGATTGGGGCTGATTTGAGTCTGAATTCGTTGAGGGACTTGGCAATGGCATGTACAATATGAGTGGAGAGTGTTGTGTACTCGTCGGTGTTTGGAATTTCATTTATTATACTCTAAATAGTATAGCCTAACCTTAACAAACTTTGCAGAGCTAATAATTGACAAGTCTATCAATTTTCAAAATCTAAAAAATTAACCTTACTATGTCACAATTGGTGAATTCCAATGAAAATGGTCGAATTATCAGCTTCTCTAACACGGGATTCGATCCTTTTAAATTCTTGATGCATTCTCTGTAGAAATCTCCGATTGAAGTTAGGTTCAGACTTCTAGCGACATCAGTGTTAATCGAGACAGATAGCGTTGTATTGACCAAGCCGGATTCGTCTTTTGTTATCGGAACTGTAAGGTTTCCTTTGTCGCTGTAGAAGTCTTCGAGGTAGTAGGTTTGTTGTACAGCCACAGGAGTCGGTTGTTCTGTGGTTAGAGTAGGTAATGGGGTGTTGAAATCAGGTGTTTCCGAGGTGTGATGCTGAGTGGATGTTTCTAAATATTACGACGTATTTCAGAATAGCTGAAAACTTAAATCTGCATTGAAATCGCAAAAAATGCGCTTGAAATTATATTTACAATGGTAAATAGGAATCACAAGGTAAAAACATGGGCCATACCTTCCGCAATTTTGGTTTCCTCAATATAATCTCCTTCTCCATGGTCGACTAGTGTTGTAGTTCCATTTTCTTGCACTTCATTTTCAGCCAGGCCCAAAATTCCATGCGCAAAAAGTGTTATCCATAAGCAACACGTGAGATATCCCGCCATCATGATTAGAATTGAGAACAAGCGGGTCCCTTATAAACAAAACTAATCCAAACTTTTTATGTGTTTATTTCATTCCTTGGGACATATTTATGGCCACAATAAAATAAGAAAAAAATTATTAAAGGTTGTTATTTGTGTTGAAAAGTGATTACAAAAAACGTTTTTAAAAAAGTATCAAATGATTTGAAAATCCGTTAAATAATTATGTACTATTAATCGGGGAGAAATCATCGGTAGATAGGTTGAGTGGAGTCTATAAATAGCATCAGATCATTGTGGGGGCGGCGTCACCGTTCGAGTATTTCTCTTTTTCCGTTTGTTCGTAGGTTAATAGAGCGCCTGAAAGTAGTTGTTATTGAAAAGCAAACTAGTTTGGGTTAAAATGGCCTATGTTAGAGAAGCCACTTACTATCAGGTTCGAAAGAATTACTTGGTTTGCTTGGTCCGGCCTTCTTTTTCTTCGAATCAGTTCGTTCTAGTCGGTCCTTGACGTAATGGTGAACAATACCAGCGCCAAAGGCGTCTCCAACAACATTGATTGAGGTCCGAATTCGATCTAATAGCCAGTCGACGGCTACGATCAGTGAGACATCTTCTAATGGGAGACCAACGGCTCCGAGGACCAAAAGCATGGTCACAAGACCCGCTGATGGCACTGAGGCGGCTCCGATTGAAGCCAACGTGGCTGTTAGACTAAAGGTACAAGGGTAATTGACTTGTTTCTTTATTTTAAAGAGTATTAAGCGAGTGACTTACCACACAGTAATTACTTGGCCCAAACTCAGCTCAATTCCATTGACTTGCGCGATAAAAATAGCGGCCACTGCTTCATAAAGCGCTGTGCCATCCTAAAGCAACTTATACACCACTCATATTTATCCTACCATGTTGATAGTTGCTCCCACAGGCAGTACGAATCTTGTTACTCTCTTATCTACGCCATTATTCTCCTCCAAGCACTTGAAAGTCATCGGTAATGTTGCTGAACTCGAGCCAGTTCCTAACGCTGTAACCCAGGCTTGAACCAACCCTCTCATATAGACAAATGGATTCTTTTTGGTGAGAAGTGTGTACAGAACTGGTAAAGTAATTAGCCCATGAATGGCGAGACCAATAAGAACGGTGACCATGTAAAGAGCAAGCATTTTTCCGGTTTCGGCGAGATCTGCGATAGCGAGGATTTTGGCCACAACCAAGGACATAATCCCAATCGGCGAGTAGCTAAAAATATAGATAGGATAGTATTCTGTGCTCTGTTGTAAAAATCGATCAAGTATGAGCAAAACTTACAGCATGAGGTAGTTCACCAAGGTCATAATGACTTTATCCATTCCTTTGAAGAAGTTGATAACTGGTCGCGCTTCGTCTCTGAGGATACTAAGGACAATTCCGAAGCCCATCGACATCACAATTACTCCTGTAATTTGTAAATTTAGTGTTTGCCAAAGCCGCAAATTTGTCATAGTAATGTTAGGCTTTCCCAATTTGCTTGGAAATAGCAAGTTTTGGCTCATAAAGGCTGAGATTCGATTGCTTACCAAGACAATTCATACCGCTGGTGCTCTCTAACGTCGGTTTATTGTAATCGAAGTCTCCGTTCCTCCATTTTCTCATACTTAGCGAGTCATTTTGCGGAGGAAATTTGGGTCGCACCTTGACATACTTGGTCTGGGTTTGTTCGAAAGCGGCTTTGATCATGTTGTCTGGGAACATGTTTCTGAAGTATCAAGGTTGTAAGAGTGGGATTATACTCAATCTTACCTGATGATATCAAGGAAAGTGTCCAAGGTGTTGACTTCGCGCCGGGTAGGTGAACTTGTGTTGACATCCTTGCGAATTTTCGGATCTCCAGGATGAATCAGTAAGACAAGGATGATTCCGAGCTAAAAATGGGATTAATTCTTGTGATTAGCCTATATTTTTGTAGCTTACAAGTAACATACTAGATTATAAATTAATAAAAATATGGCTTTTTACAACTTACAACGACCGCCATTAAAGTTGTGGCCAAGTAGTAAGCGAGAGATAAAAAGCACATCCTCCTTGATTGTTTCGCATCCAATTGGGCCATACCTGAATGTTCGATATCCCATTTTAGACCTTCGGAACTCACCAGAAATTAGCGAACAAACAATTAGCGGTAGAATAGTCAGTTTTAGCATATTCATCAAAATTTCGCCGGGGAATCCAAGAAGAACTATCGTATTTGGATGGGGATCGAATTTTCGGATGATAAATCCGACAATTACTCCAACAAAAACTGCGCCAATTGTAAATACCAGAAGGAGATTGTCCTTGAAGACCTTTTTCTAAACAAAAAATTTTTAAAAGTGTAAAATAAGCTAGATAGTTTAGAATATTATGCATAAATAGTAGCGGCTTACCTTCCCCATCTTGAACGTTGTTCAAAACAACGGTTGAACAGTCAATGAGCTCGGCTTAAGTCACAATTTTTTTTGCAAAAGTTGTTTACTATCTGGAAACACAGTAAAATTTTTGCAAAATTGAAAACGATGCTTGAGAGTAAATCCCCGGAAATTTAAAAATGCGTTTTTATAAAGAATGCGTATTAATTTCCAAAGTGATGTAGGGTCTCGGAAAATAATTTGTTGAGTAAACAAAACGGGTATAATGTTTGAGAATGCGAAACATGCGGTCTCGTGTGTGGCGAAAGCATATTTTGAAAAAAAAAATTAAAATTGTGTCTGGAGAAATGAGGCGAAATGTCAGCACGAACGTTCGGATAATACTGTATGAACTTCGAAAAGAAGTAAGGTACAAGCTATGGTCATCAAAAGGTTGTTAGCTTCAATAATAAATAAAAAACTTTGATTTTCCGAACTTAAAATGCACTAAGCGATGCTCGTTGTGTACCACAACAAGTGGAAGTCCAAGAAGTTCGTGTTTGGACCAAAGTTTCTAAAAATCATCCAGCCGTTTTTCGTTTCAAGCAATTACAAATCATAAGTGCGGAAAAAAAGAAAAATTTTCGAGAAATTCTTTTTATAAAAAATGCCCAGAGGGCCGGGCACACAAAGTGACCCTGCCTGATTATTAAAGATCAGCTCGGATTCCCGCCGTCCCGGGAACGCCCTATCTGCAGCTGACACGCGAAAGTCCTTTTCCCCCCACCTTTTTTCAAGCATTTAGCCCCGCTGAGAGTTTGAGCCGGGCCTAATCAAAAATCGACTTGAGCTCTCATTTCCTTCACCCCCACGGGGAAAAAGTCGGCAAAAGGAATAGCCCGAGGGCAAAAATACCTGCCAAAATACGATTAACTCCGCCGTTCAAGTGCCATCTTGAATGAAGGTCGAGAGCGAAAAAAACGAAAAAAAAAAATAATTGAGTCTCGGCTTCCTTTCCCGCCACCGGCGGCGAGGGTGGATATCTGGCCAATTGGAAAATAGAGAGCGCTGCGGAGATTTTGGAACATTTTCACGGTGTTTAGGCACCTTGAATGGAACCGTTGATTAGGTTGGTTCGAGCAGTCTGGGCCGGTTTTGCGAAACAATTAAAATTCGGGTAAATATTGTGTGGAGGGTTGCAAAGAAATGATATGGGGTTCAGGTGGATTCTGAATGGGAGCTCGTGGTGTTTGTGGGTCTAGATGGGGACAATGAATTGTTGTGGAATGAAAAAAAGTTGTCTGTGAAAAAAATTTTACTATTAAAAAAGGGAAAGTCTCTCAAAAAGGAGCCAGTGGCAAAGTGTTTGGCCTTTGAAAAAATTCCTGTAACTTGTTCCAGGAATTGGCGGGAGAAAATGTCACGGTAGTTTAGGGGTACGTGAAGGGCAATTAAGTATACTAAAACAACATGTAACTTCAAGAACAAGCAAAAAATGTTTTAATTGAATTTTCGAGAGGTTTCTGGACTTTTTGGCTCTTCAAAAACGTCTTGCAGGCCGTGATAGGGGCAATCACTCAATTGCAGATTGATTTATGGCATTTCCAACAAATTTGTAATAACGATAGATCTCCTTGATTTTGGCAAATGGAGGAACCCCCACTTGCCATTGGTCGGAATCTATATCTGAAGAAATATGTGATGATTAAAACCAAGTAACGGCTGCAGGTGTACGCTAGCTAAATTTAGATGACAAATAAAGCAATATTCAAAAAAATTTGACCCCAAATTGACCGTTTTCCTTCGTTTTCAAAAGTTTATAATGATTGTCAGCAGGTTTGTTTGCCCAGCCGTTTTTATGCAAAATACTTCCAAGAGATTGTTGAGAGGCGTTTGCTCGGATCTTTTATAAAATTTTCCTCCTTTTTGAAAACCGATATTCAAACGCTTTTCTTCAAATTTCAAAAACGTTTTGAACTTTTAAAGAGCATAAACAAAATGAAATAAAAAGTTGGCCTTTTCGACCATCGTATTTACGTAAATGTGAATAAGGAGCTGATTTTGACAGTTTCACAAAAAGAAAAAAGTGATGAGTTTCACACATGTTTGTTTACGTAAAAACGGATGTTTTGTGACGTATGGGACATTTATAGAATTGAGATTGGAAAAGGCGATAGATTATGCGGAATTTAATGTTGTAGAGCAACATTTGAGAGTGAAAGGTCGGGGATAAAAATTGGCACGTGTGAAAAAATGACAAAAATTACATTGAACCCAAAAATTGACTAGTGGGCCCCCTGAAATATTGGCTATAAATAGGCTACGTTGTAGAGGAGTTACAGTAGTTGACAGCGAATTGTCAATTTTTTTATTTCGTGTGTAACTTCACTCAGACTCAACAGAATTTGATGAGACCAAGAGCGTTTAAGAGGCTGGGAGACACGCTTCAACCTTATGAAATTGTTTTATTTCATATCGGCCACAGGCATGGTAAAAATTTCAAAACAATTTTTTTTGGGGGACAACGAATTGTCAATTTTTACATTTTGAGGCATAAGATCTGAATAAACCAGCATATAAAGACTAGAATGGAGAGTAATCAGTTGCCAGCAATCATAGAACAGCATACAACGGATTTCAGCCATTAGTATAATCTCCTTCGCTTTCTATAGGTCGGGCACTTGGGGGTGGACCATGTACAATATAATGTCAGCCTGGGGGCTTCCTAGGCCGAAATTATCTTATATTCCGGTTTTTTATGGGCGGTTACATCTTACTACGCTAGGGAAAGTCAAAAAATTACACCTAACGGGTTACACTTGCGCCTTGTTACCTCGAATATATTAATCATGGCCTTTCATACTGTTGGTCAGAGTATCAAAAATCAAAAAATGTCGCGCATGAAGATCGTTGGAGAAACCTTCTATATTTGAAAACAAACTACACTAAAAGACAAATATTCAGTGCCTTTAACATGTCAGTACCAGCACTCATGGAAGAGGTATGCAGAGGGAAATATTTGGATTTACATGAATTTTCACGTCGGGTTTGCAACACCCAGAAAAATTCTTATTTCTTCAAGCCTGCAACTTCCAAGACATTTTATTAGCATATTAGAGATTTTTACAAGCATTAAAAATATTAGTTTTAACGTTTAAAAACGCAGAAGACGCGCAATAAAATGATTAATATACTCACCACCCTAGTGTGGCACAAGAATTAATTGGACCGTCAGAATCTCACCAGGAAATTTCAGGGCGTCGAGACAGGTAATGAAATAATTTGTAGAATGTCGTTAGTTTGGCCGTAAAGGAGGATTAAATGAACCTATGCCCCCTGTCGGCAAAAAAATTATCGATTTTTGGGCGAAACACAGAGTTTAAATGACCAAAAATAATATTATCTGACAAATTTTTGACCCGTAGCCCCTCCAAGTTGTAATCCGGTGCAAGTGTGTTAAATATATGCAATAATCTTCCATAAAAAACCGGAATATAAGATAATTTCGCCCTAGGAAGGCCCCAGGCTGACATTATATTGTACATGGTCCACCCCCAAGTGCCCGACCTATAGAAAGCGAAGGAGATTATACTAATGGCTGAAACCCGTTGTATGCTGTTCTATGATTGCTGGCAACTGATTACTCTCCATTCTAGTCTTTATATGCTGGTTTATTGAGATCTTATGCCTCAAAATGTAAAAATTGACAATTCGTTGTCCCCCAAAAAATTTGTTTTGAAATTTTTACCACGCCTGTGGCCGATATGAAATAAAACAATTTCATAAGGTTGAAGCGTGTCTCCCAGCCTCTTAAACGCTCTTGGTCTCATCAAATTCTGTTGAGTCTGAGTGAAGTTACACACGAAATAAAAAAATTGACAATTCGCTGTCAACTACTGTACATTTACACAGATTACAACGAACTAGTGTATAAAAAATAAGTTTTGGAAAATGTGTTTTTGCACAGGGCTGCAGTGTTATGCTCATATTTTTTTGAAATTTGGCATGCTTGTTCTAAACACAAAATGTATTAGTTCTTGGAAATTAGCCTACGAAAAAGCAAATATCGCAAAAACAACAACTGTGGGAGGAAGAAACAACTGATGAAATTGCTGCTTTCTTGCACAACTATCAAGATTGCTCCCTAAAACACTATTAAAACACATAGAAATTTGCCTAAAACGCGGTGATACACTATATATGTCTGACATCCAGTTGTAACCCCACGTCCACTCTCACCTTTTCTCCCCAGACCAATAAACTCTAATGACGGAATTTACGGCATTTTTCGCATATTTCAAATTCCTTGTGACAATTTCTCACACTCCTGACCGAAATTGTAAATATTACGGCATGTAAATATTAACCTGAAAACATTTGGTTTTTAACAGAAAACGTGAGCGACTGACGTCCCCGGAGGGCCTTTTAGCGAGAAGTAAAGGTTTCGTTGTAGTGTTGTGTAATAACTGGTTGTAAATTAGTGCATAAAAAGTTGAAATATTTTGAGATATTAGTTCAGGTGGTCAGAGTATCAAAATGAAAATAAAAAAAAAGTGATGCATGAAAAAACTATATTTTTTTGAATTTTCGGGTAATTTATCTTACTCTAGGTGAATTGCAATGAAAGATGATTCTAGAAAAGTTAGTTGTGATTTAATTTTTAGTGTAAATTATTCCTGGAAGGCCATTTATCATAAGAACTAAAATATTGGTGATTTATCGTGAAGATAGGAGCAAATCTGTATACTTACAAGGGAAGTCACTTAAATCACGGATCGATTTTGCGAAACGGCTGACACAGCGATGGAAAGAGTGAGACAGTGATATTAAATCTGAAAACCGCTACCTCCACCGGCCTCTGGGAGCCGAGATAATCGATCAACAAGTTTGGCCAAATTCCCTCCGAAAAGGTCTCCCTTCCGTAAGCAAAGGGAGGGCGACCCGAATGGTCCGGTGGTCTGGAAGCGCGCTTCCAGGCCTTCACCTTTTGAGGTTCGAGTCCGCATGGGTCCGGACTTGTGAAATTTCATCGCAAAATATGCAAAAAT